AGGAATAACATATTGCTATGTAATTTATATGTAAGACAGTGGGTAATACATTTTGCTTTATTGCTTTAAGATATGACCACCAAAAGACAGCAATGGGATGAAGTGGACATGGAACAAGCCATCAGGAATGTACAGGCAGGAGAAATGGGGTATAAGTTGGCCGCTCAAACATTTAACGTACCCAAAACCACGTTAAGGAGAAGATTGGCCACGAATAAAAGTGCTCTCAAACAGGGACTTGGAGGAAAACGAGCCACTTTTTCCAAAGAAATTGAACAAGAAATTGTTGATCACATCATAGACATGGAATCACGATTTTTTGGTCTTACCAGCACAGATTTACGTAAGTTGGTCTATGAAGTAGCGGAAAGAAATGGCATTGGACACAATTTCAACAAGGAACGCAAAATGGCTGGGTGGAAATGGGTTAAATGTTTTTTAAGACGCAATCCCCGCATATCTTTAAGAAATCCCGAAAGTACTTCGTTAGCTAGGGCTCAGGCTTTTAACAAACCCAACATTCTGGCATATTTCAAGTCATTAGCGTCTATTTGGTACAAACACCAATTTCTCCCGGTGAACATATACAATATGGATGAGTCTGGCTTGACCACAGTCCAGAAGAAGTCGCAAAAAATATATGCCTGTAAAGGTCGCAAACAAGTTGGGGCACTCAGCAGTGCAGAACGCGGTCAGCATGTTACTGTCGTTTGTTCAATGAATGCCATTGGCTCTTACGTTCCTCCTGTGATAATTTTTCCACGTCAAAGAATGAAAGACGAGCTAATGAATGGTGCTCCACCGGGATGCCTTTCGTTTGTACAGGAGAAAGGCTGGATGACCTCCGAACTTTTCTGCAAATGGCTCAAACATTTTGTCAGATACACGAAAGCGTCTCTAGAAAATAAGGTTCTGTTACTATTAGATGGTCATAGTAGTCATAAAAGCCTCGAAGCGTTGCAGTACGCAAAACAAAACGGAATTGTAATATTTTGCTTTCCTGCCCACTGTTCCCATCATGTCCAGCCCCTCGACGTGGGATTTTTTCGACCCTTGCAAACTTATTACGGACAAGAAATTCAACTCTGGTTGCGACAGAATCCTGGCAAAACTGTAACGCAGTTCCAAATAGCAGCTTTATTTAGTCGTGCCTATTTAAAAAGCGCCATACCCACAAATGCTATCAACTCCTTCAGGAAAACAGGAATACATCCGTTTAACCCGGAGGTTTTCGAAGATTGGCAGTTTTCACCATCTTTAACAACCGATAAACCTCAAATAACTCAAGAAGATGTCCTTGAACCTGAAAAAATTATTCCATTGCCCAAAAATGTCAAATTACCTTCCAATCAAGGTAACATTGATAAAGACTTTCCATCTTATCAAGAAGAAAATATTATGGTTCAATTGGACAGTTCTGTGTCTTTGCCAGGACCTTCCACTACACAAACTCTCACTAAATCCCCGGTTCTCAATGTATCATCCGAATCAGCTCTTAACATATCGGTCAAAGATATTTGTCCTCCACCTTCAGTCGCTGATATTCAGTCAATGCAACGGAGGGTTAGAAAACGTGGAAAAACAGGTACGTTGAATTCTACACCAGAACTTGATGAGCTCAAAGCAACAGCTGCTCAAAAGGCAGTCAAATTAAGAAAAACTTGTGCAAGAGCAGCGAAACGACAAGTTTTCGTAAATAAGAAGGATCTTGCAAGTGACGACAGTGATGAGGAAAATCAAGCGGTTGTTGACAAATATCTGGAACAAGAAAATTCGGACGACGCCGCATGCCTCTATTGTAATGAACTTTATTCACAATCAAAATCTAGGGAAAAGTGGCTTCAGTGTCAAGTCTGTAGCTCTTGGTGCCACAATGATTGTGCGGGAGTTAGCCCTAGGTGCAAGTTGTTTGTTTGTGAACTGTGTCAATGAATGCCTAAAGTAGAATTCATGTTATTCTCCTGTTTGTATTGTTTACTTTTGTGGTTTTTCTATTTTATTTTTTTCTGAGAACTATGTACAATTTATTTTGCTCTAGTCTTTATTTTGGGGTTTGTGTTAAAGAATGTGATCTCTTAGTTTTTTGGTATAAAAGTTTTTCAATAAAATATTAGAAACAAAATGTTCTCTCATTATTTCTCATAAATATTCTCAGTGGTCCAACATAGGAACACTCCGGGGTCCATCAAAGGAATGTATGCTCCTATGATGGACCCCTCAAATTGATTTTTAAAAATGACCGTCAAAAAGTAATTCATGAAACTAATCAAGAATACAATGCAGGTTTTGAAAGCCCTTATCAAGACCCGTAAAATGAACTGAAGTGATCCACAAAAAAATCATAAATATAAAAATTATGAGGCATTATTCTTAAGGGGGCCATCATCGGCATACTTCCCCTACTTCGCCCCCTCGCTCCTCATACGGAAAATGTCAGATCAAAATCGACGGACAATACTTATTTTTTATTTCATGTTATGATCTTGATGATTGATAATAATTTTTTTTATATTTTTTGTTTACTTTTATTTTTATCGAAACTGTTCGGGGCCCCCAAGGAAAATCTCGCGGGAGGGCCCCCAAGAAACTCGGCACGCCCCTGATACCGCGGTGGTCTGTAAAAAACTCTTACACCCAAAACTAGTGATTTTACTTGCACCAGAGCCCATAAATGTTCAAGTACTGTATTTTGATCATTGTTTTCGATTATGCTCACCTTGAGACTATTTCTGATAAAGACCCCTACACCCCCACCTCTCCCCTCTCTATCCTACTTGTAAAAATCAAACCCCTCAACAGAAACCTGAGCAGTTGGAATATCAGCACTAACTCAGGTCTCAGAAATTCCCAAAATATCCAGCCCTAAATCAGTACAAATATCACGACTGTAATCCATGCTAGGAAGAAGCGATCGAATATTGACACGACCAATGCATAAATTGCCTATAGATCTTGTTACAGCCATTGCCTTAGATAAATACAACCAAATAATACAGGCAAATAAATTACAACACAAGAAAGAAATTACTTTGAAATTACAGTTCCTCCAGATCTCTTTATTCTTGATAATGACATAACGATCGCCCTCTAATTGTTGCGCGCTAGGATTCTACCATTTCTATGCCATATGAACTTGTAGTTTTTGCTTCTGAGCTGCTTCTAGCTTTCCTAAACAACTCATAGGTTTCCCTTGTAACATCCTCCTTAATGAAAATGCACTGCGCAGAGTTACCTAGGCCAGAGTTTGAAAGTGTGATTTTGCCTTTCTTTGAACGGGCCCTTAAGATTGCTTGTGTAACATTAATACAACTAAAATTTTATTTTGAACCAATAAACTGCTGATTGCAGTGTTATAACAGTTTTAATACCGGTTTTCATTACAGCTAACTTCAATTATGATTTTTAATTCTTGTTTTTTTTATTTATTTAAAGAAAACTTCAGAACATAATTGGAAAAGTAGCAGATAGTTTCCAGGTATTTAACTTCTTACTACGTGTGCTATATACAGTGTGTTTCAAAAGTCTGGAAACGATCGAATATTTCCAGAGCGGCTTGAAATAGAATTATTTTGCAATTTTCTGCATATGGGTAATCAATGATGTCCGATTCAATTATGAGATCGACAATGTTGCCAAGTTTACCGAGTTTCAGAAAATTTAGGTAACTTCGTTTTTTTTAAATAGAAATATCACACTTTATTTTCATTGGAATAAATTCGACGCTATATTGTTAGTGAAACCTCCAGATATCATATCCCTATTTTACGCGGTTTCTGAAACATGGCAACACAACCTTTGTGTTCAAGTTCAAAGGTCTAACAATGGTCAAATAATAATTTCCACAACGGCTTAAAATTATGATTTCGAAATTGAATCGGGCATTCATAGTAGGAAATTTCGTTATTTTATTTTAAGCCTCTCTGGAAATATTTGACCGTTCCCAGACTTTTGAAACATACTGTATCTGCGATACAAACTTTTATTCTGCCTCCGAATGTTATTTTGAGAGAACTGCAAGTATCACATGATAATAGTTGCCTTGAGCATAACAAAAGGCTCAACAACTCTAGTAATCAAGAGATTCTCCTTTCTTTACATAATATCACTGCGAAAGCTAAGAATGCAGCATGCAGCTGTTTCATTATTTGACGATTCTGCCCCACAACATCAAAAATTATTAGCCTTGGATGTGTTAATTTATGGCCATTAGAATCTTATTTTGATGCCGCAACTGCCACATAAGATAAATGAATGCTTCAGCATCCCAAATTGCTACTTAGAATGTTTAAAATGGAACAAGTTGCTGAAGCATTGGAAAAATCCTTTATTCCGACAAATATAGATAACGAAGAATAGGATCACATCCTGATTAATTTTCCGAGAGCGTTTTTTTTTTTCTTGAACATGGACCACAACCTTCCACATTCAATCAAATCGAATGATACCGACAAAAACCGAAGAAGAAATCTTGGCTAGCCAGAATCTTGAAGATAATGGTGGCAGTTTTTGACACCTGATCTATTTTGATTTTTGTCAATATATTCCTGCTTACTTGTAAAGGCGCCGCTATATTATTGTAATAAGGATTTCCACAAATACTCTGCTTGTTCAGATTGGAAAGTTTTGTGAAATGCATAACAGCCAACAATGATGCAACCAAGCCAACAATGATGCAACCAGTCAAATAAGGTTTTTTTTTTCTATTCCTAAAAATTCTGCGTATAAATATTCTGATAGCATTTCCTGTATCCGTCACTCCAATTCAAATGATAATAAATCAAAACCAATGCTCGCTATTGTTCTGTCAATCCAAACAATCAATTAATCGCCAGCTCCTACTAGAATAATTCCTAATAATATTTAATCCCAAACAAAGGATTTCAATATCAGAAAAAAAATTGATATGTTTTATCTTATCCATCCCAATCCATGATTTTCGTTTCTGAGAAAAGGTTTTTGAGAAAATGTTTATTTTCAGTTTGAACCTGGGACAATCAGTGGTTTGCTTGCGTGGGTGATAGTCAACACTAATATTTATTGTCTAGTGCGAGTAGTGTACATTCGTGTCCATTTGTTGACAAAATGGATGACGATGATTATGACGACTTTAACGAGAATGATTCTTTAATGGGATCTAATGAAAGGTTTGTGGAGGTAGTATAAATTAATAATGAAGTGCATCAATGAAAATTTTTTGGATTAAAATTTAATTTAAAATTTACAAGTGACTCAAATAAATAGGTAATACCTGGATTCTCTTCAAAAATTCGGTGAGATTGTAAGGGTAACTTACGCGGTTTTAAAGGAAATAAAAAAATGTTTTTTTAGACAAATTTAGTTTTGTTTTTCTTTATTTAATTGAACGATAAGCCATATAAGAAAAACAAGATTAATAGATATTGCTCATTTTATATGCAAGCAAGTAAACAAAAATTTAAGGTCAAAAGCTTGTGCAGTACCTATCATTTTATTATTAGTTTGCTGTAAAAGGCTATTTAAACTTTGAAATTTCAGTTTTTTTTATACAAATCTTTTCCACCCTTTTTGCATGGCGAATATTTCGCTAACTTTATTAAGATTTTAAAAGCCTTTCTCGCAAAATTAAACGGGCGCTTGAAAAACTAATTAGCCGCTTTCGTTTTATGTTAATTAGATTTTTTTGCCAACTTTTTTGCACACTGGTGACACAATTAAGTTTATAGCAATGAAAATGGTGAAAATTAGCACCGACTGGAGATACCCAATGATTTTTTTGAAGCTTCAACTTCTTTATGTTCGATTCCAATTTTAGCTTTACTTAATTTTAGGCAGGGTGAAGAAATCAAACCATGGGACCGGTTCAAAATAATTCACAGAAAACCAGCAGCAGGGTCTACGGTAGAAACAAAATTTATCGACAATGGCACGAAATTTCTAAAAGTGGCCACTGTTATCTTCGTATTTACTGTCGTACTGGGTTCGGCTGTACTTTCAAAAAGTCTAGTGCTATTTATGACGTCACAAATTAAGAAAAACGTTACCAGACAATATTGCAACAAGGGTTTGGGTAAATTTCAATTAGATTTATTTCAAAGAAAAATAGGTTTTCAGCTTTTGAGCTGTTTTAATCAATACCAATCAACTAGTTCTTACTAATTCCACACCATCCTCTCCTTTGGTTATACTTATTTATTGCTGATTATAATATCTAAATGAACATTTAACGACTATGTGTGAAATTAATTGGTATAGGTATTAAACCAATACAAAATTCCTAAAAAGCTGAGAACTGATTTTCCTTTCAATTATATCATATCAGCGCACGAAATCTGTTATTTGATAAATGAAGATCTTGTTTTAGTATTACAGATGGTATAAGATCCTCCTCATAGTTTATTAATAATATTTCCTGGCAACAGGTGTGTATCGTCCACAGCTAAATGTTTGCTTTTAAATCCATGCTCAAACAATATCTGTTCAATAAGTTTACTTAATTCTTTTTCTTAGATATATCAAGACAGTATGTATTTTCCATGCCAGATATTGAAAGGACAACTTGGATATGGCTTCTGATGTTTGCATATTTTGTTCCTGAAGCTGGAACGTTTATCAGGTATGTTCGTTTCCTAGAGTACCTATACACAATTTAGAAGTTAATAAAGACAGTAGGTATTAAGTCGGTCGCCCAAGATTCTAAGAGTCATGATTATTGTCGTGTGTTATAATAATTAAATGAATACTTTTTATATGACTGTTCTATTTTATTTTTAAAATTCACAATACCCTTGACAATACAATTGGCTGGTCATTACCTTTTAATTATTAAAGGTGAGATCACCTCACATCTTTCTTTCTTAAACGCAACAAAAATTAAAATTACTAATAACATACAAAAAAAAATCAAATACATATTACATTAAATAATCTTTGAATTTAGTGGGAAAACGTCTCTCTCGTCTGTCTCTATTTTTGTCTCTTGTATAATTTCTTTCATCTTGTTTGCTGTGGTTTTTCTGTTTATCTCTTTTATTGTGATCTTTTGTTATCATGGAAGTAGTTGGTTCAGAATCAGGCCTATTAAGTGTTTGATGATCTGTCGTGACGGGTTCAATAATCTCATTATTTTCTGGTAGTGGTTGTAAATGTCTTCTATTTCTTCTTAATATCTCAGTATCAGTTTCCACCATGTAGGATCTTGGTTCATCTTTTCGTTCATTAACAATTTTTCCTTCTTTGTTTTCTGTTATTATAAAAACTCTTGTTCCTTCATTTAATTCATCTAACTCCTTTGCTCTATGTCGTTTATCATCATTTTTCTTCTGTATTCCTTTTCAGTTATCATATTTCTTCTAATTTCTTTATGATTTGGCAATGTTGGAATTAATGTTTTATCTAATACAGGCAAATTTTTCCTTAGATTTCGACCCATCATCAATTGAGCAGGTGACGCACCACAATCTAATTTAGTATTCCTATACGCAAGTAAACCAACGTAGGAATCATCACTTTTCTTAAAAATCTTTTTAATTAATTTCACTGCATTTTCCGCTTGTCTATTTGACTGTGGATATTTGGGACTGCTACTTTTCCATATAAAGTTATATTCTTTTGCAAAATTTTTAAATTCGTAACTATAAATTGTCTTCCATTATCTGATCTAAGTATTTTTGGCGTTCCATATCTTGCAAAGGTCTCTTTCGAACATTTAATAACCGTTCCTGATTTTAAGTTATTCAATAAAAACATTTCTGGCCATTGACTATAATATTCCTTTATAACCAAGTATTGGTTTCCTTGGTATTCTAATAAATCTGCTGCGACTATGCTCCAAGGTAAAACAGGTACATTTAAATAGATCATCGGTTCAACTCCTAGATTTTTATGTTTAAGGCATTTTTCACATTTATGAACATTTTCTTCAATATGATTATTTATTGAAGGCCACCAAAGTGTTTCCTTTGCTTGCGCCTTACATCTTCTTAACCCAAAATGACCAGAGTGCAAATCTTTTAGACATTTTTTTATTAAATTTTTGGGTATTACAATTCGATCTTGATATGTCAAGGTTTCGTCAACTACAGCATAATCTTCTTAAAATTTGTAAAAAATCAGACATTTTTCAGAACAATCTTGTTTAGAAGGCCACTCACTGACAACATATGATATCACCATCTTCAAAACTTCATCTTGTTCTTGTTGTAATCGAAAATCTTTGGTACTAAATTCTGACCATGTGCTAAATTCATTTGATATTGAGTCTATAATGGAGACGTTTGTTAATATAATATCTTTATCATTTTGACCTTCATCTAAAGAACTTCTTGATAATGCATCTGGACAAGAAAACTCTTTTCCAGGAACATACTCTACATCATAATCATACTTCATAAGACGCATACGAAAACGTTGTAGTCTAGTCGTTAATTGGCCAATTGGCTTATCTTTAAGTATTCTTACCAAAGGTTTGTGATCAGTCCTTATAGTAAATCTTCTTCCAAACAAAAATTGTCCTAACCTCTCCGTTGTTCAGGTTAATGATAATGTTTCTTTTTCAATTTGTGCATATCTTCTTTCTGCATCACTTTGTAACGTTTTCAATTTCTTGGCGAATAAGCTACCTTGTTTTGCTTTAGTAGATATGATTCCATATAGAACTACAATGAAATAAATGAATAAACGACTATCTTTTCTGTGCCCAGATTTTGTTACCTTGAGTACTGCCTTCTACTGAAAGTTTTTTTGGTGCAGGTTTGCAAGTTTGGTTAATTGATCTAGGAAGGTTTGATTCAGTACAGCGGGCCCTGCCGTACCGAATCAAACCTTCCTAGATCAATTAAAGATTTCGAACAAAAATATACAGTTCTCCATAATCCATTTTCTTGTTGTTGTTCCAAAATTCCTCCAATCCTATATGCACTAGCGTCTGCACTTATTCTGTTAGGAAAATTAGTCTGATAATTGGCAAGAACTGGTGCTGAAATAATTTCATGTTTTAGATTTTCAAAGCATTTTTGATGACTTTCATTCCAAACAAAACTATTTGTTTGTGTGTAGTAATTCTCTTAAAACTTTCGATTTTGAAGATGCATCTTTAATAAATTTTGAAAAATATATATACATTTCCAAAAACCTTCTTACTCCTGTTTTATTTATTGGTGCAACATAGTTTATGATAGCTTTTATACTTGAATTATCTGGCCTTAATCCATTTTTACTCATACATACTCCCAAATACTTAAGTTCTTTCATACCAATTTCGCGTTTTTCAAAATTTAATGCTAGTCCATATTTTTGTAAAATTGTCATAACTTTTATTATGTTCAGAAATGGTACGCCCTTTAACCAAAATATCATCCGCGTGAACAAGCACATCGTTCAAGCGTTCTTGCATAAATATATTCTTTAAAGTTTTCTGAGAAATTTCTGGACTACTGGAAATGCCGAAAGGTAATCTTTTATAAACAAATCTGCCGAATGGTGTTATAAATGTAGTATATTTTCGGCTTTGTTTACTAAGCATTAACTGCCAAAATCCTTTATTGCAATCTAATTTTGAAAAAAAATTTGCATCTTGCAACTGTGCTGTCGTTTCTTCTACAGTTGGCAAAACAAATCTTTCTCTGACAACAAACCTATTTAATTCAATAAAATCAGTGCAAATTCTTACTCCATTGATTTTAACTATTGTTATCGGAGAGCACCATTCTGTAGCTTCGTTGATTTCCTTAATACCACCTTTTTTTACCATATCATTAAGCTCTAACCATACAGTCTCCAATAAAGGGAATGGTACACGTCTGGGTGTTTGTACTGTCACTGGTTCAACATTTTCTTTTAATTTAATAGAATATTCAAAATCTTTTAACTTGCCAAGTCCAGTAAAAACTTTACCATATCTTTCTTTTAAATCCGATTTCATTAGTAGATTTTTATTCTCATTTTCATTAATTCATTCTACAGCCCACTGCATCATTTTTAATTTTTCAATAGCTTGGCGACCTAATAAATTCTCACTGGCTTTCACTACAAACATTATGACATGCCTTTTAACACCATTATATATAAGTGGCACTTTAATTACACCTTTTACTTTTAATCCTGAATCACCTGGACCCATCAACCGTGTTTCTGTGGGCTTCAATTTTAGATCTTTGTTTTTCTTAAGATTCCTGTAAGTTTTTGTAGTTATCAAAGTTTCATTTGCACCAGAATCAATTTTAAAACATACATCCTTATTAAAAATATTTTAATTTACTGTCCATGGTTTTGAAATATGCGATATATTTTTAATTTTTGCAATGTTTGACTCATATGAAAAATCTGTCTCAGTATTTTCAAATAATTCCTCATTTAATAATTCATCGCTTTCATTATCAGTGCTGTCAACTTCTACACTTTTAACAAACTTTGACCTACACATTTTGGCATAATGACCTTTAACTTTACATTTTGAACATATTTCACCATTTGCAGGACAATTTTTATATGCATGAGGTGAATTTCCACATCTAAAACATATCTAGCTCTTTGTATAATTGGTTTTCTTGATTGTGAACTTTTATCTCTTTATTTGCATACTTTTTTATTTTATTTATATTAGAGGTACCTACGATTTTACTTCTTATATCTTTAGTTTGTTCTCCGATTAATTCTTATTGTGTAATCTTCTTTATAGCTTTTTTGAGATCCAATTTATCATCCAGTTGAAGCTGCTCTGATAATTTGTGATCCAATATACCTACAACCAGTCTATCTCTGATAAATTCGTCTGTTAATTTACCATAATTACAATATTTCGATACTTTTCTTAAAACTTCTATATTCCAAAGCACTCTCACCTTCATGTTGATGTCTCAAGTTAAATTTCGCTTGTTCATAAATTACATTATTTTTTATTTTAAAGTGTTGATCAAACATTTCTTTGGTTTCTTCGTATGTTTCTAAAACACTCTCTGGTTTGTCCAATTGTTCCAATAGTCTATCAACTTCAGGTCCCATGTGCCATAATAGATTTGTGATCTGCAATTTTTGTGAAGCTGTATTTAATTCTGTACCTTTCATAGTATGTTATCCACTTCGTCCAATCATCTTTATCAAAACTGAACTTCTGGATTGTGGGTATTTGGCTAACAGTACCTACTTATTACCATTTTTTGAATAGAAGTATGGTCTTGATTCTGACATCCCTGAATTTGTAGTCCAGCTACTATTTTTCTAAGCTTTTCTAACTGTTGTTGTAATTCTTTAGGGTTTAATTCTGCCATTGGAATGAGGTTCTTTAACCTGACACCATGACTTGTGTTATAATAATTTAATGAATACTTTTTATATGACTGTTCTATTTTATTTTTAAAATTGACTTGACAATACAATTGGCTGGTCATTACCGTTTTATTATTAAAAGTAAGATCAACTTACAATTATGTTCCATGAAATGTAATAATTCAGGCTCTAGATTATTCAGGAGTGAAAATTTTTCAGCTGACATACTATGTTCACTGATCAAAACGAAAAGGAGCCACTTCAGTAATTTGAAATAATTTCTGTATTGCATTAAAAAGAAAAATGTCTGTTTTCCCAGCAGACAGGCAGTTCCATATGAAACCAAAAAGGTTGTTTTATGACGGTTTATTTACTTATTCGATAAAAAATTACAATTTTGTAAATTTGCTGTCACATAAGCTTTATTCCAACACAGCAAGAAACCGTATAATATACCGTCACGATTCTGCGCATAGCCTAAAATTTGTGCATAGAATCCAAAATTCGTATGCAGAGTGGTTTCCAAACTTTTCATGGGACAATTTTTGACGTGTTGAAACAAACCAATACCTATTCAAATAAAAATTTACTTTAGAACCAATAAATAGATGATGATTTGACTATTCAAGATACTTTGAGTAATGGTGTGGAATCATCCTTGTTTAGTGTCATGTTCCTCGTATGCTAAAAAATTCGGCCCCTAGCTTCTCTAACATTAGAAATATTTCTAAGACATGTACCTTCACAGACTGGCTTGTCTGTGCATCACCGGGGCTATGAAAAGCACAACCACTGCAGCGCAGGAAGCAACTCTGGAGCTATCTCCTCTCAATGTTCTTATTAAAATGGTAGCCATTGTTACACCGCCCACGGGATAAGGGGTGCCATGGCATGGAAAGAAACACCACGCAAGTCCGGCCACAGAAAGGTTAACGATCCAATGGAAGATAACATAGTGGAAATGCAAACGAATCAAATGATGGTAGCCCATAATTTTGAAAAAACCAAACAAAAATCATTCAAGTCATCTGCGACCAAAGCATAAAGCAACGCAAAGGCAGAAAGGAACGCCTCACATAATAAGAAGAGGCCTGGTCTAGTATACAGACGGCTCCAAAACAGCGGATGGAGTTGGAGCTGGCGTACATGGAAAAAGACCAAGATCAGAACACAGCATCCGTCTAGGGGTCACAGTTTAACAGGCAGAAATTCATGCAATCCAAGCATGCGCACAAGAGATTCTAAAGAGAAGTTGTAACAACCAGAACATATGCATTCTCTCAGACTGCTCTAAAAGCTCTGAACTCGATTTACTTCGAAGATAACGATGGAATGCCTATACGACCTGGAAGATCTTTCCTCAAGAAGTAACAGGATAAAGCTCATGTGGGTTCCTAGGCATTCGGGGATAGAAGGCAACGAAAAGGCTGACGAACTGGCCAGAGTGGTTGCAGCTGCAGCCTACATAAGAGAAGAACCCGCATTTGGTTATTAAGACGGCAGTTAAAAGGTGGTCGATCCATCGACTTTTGACACTCGAAGGGAATAATTGGAAACCCCTCAAATATGCTAACAGCTGAAATACTGTCACCAACTCGAACTCAGATAAGACGGGTCGTAGGACTACTACCAGGACACTGTGTGGTGAAGAGGAGGAAGCCGCCTTACACATAATATACGACTGTGAAGCACTGGCTCGCAGAAGACACAAATTATTTTGGAAGAATACAACGCGGCGAAAGACTCCCGCATGAGAAACTTTCCAGCCAAGCTGCTAGATCTCATCAAAGGGACGGAACTTGCATAGCACAATAAGCCTTAAGGCTGCAGTGCAAATCGGGACACAAGCACGCCTCAAACCAACTAACCAAGAGGAGAGTTCCATCTCTTAGTTATTGATGTCAGAGAAGACACAAAGATTTTCAATGATTGAAGGATGTCTAATAAACTTTGGCCAGCCTACAGCTCGAACTAAACCCTATTGAACTTTATGAGATAAGCTGAAATTCGACCCAGAGTACCTATCCCAAATTTGATTTCGCAACTTATTTTTGCAGTAGAAGATCCCATATTACAAGAAACAATATCCAACTCGAGCCTTATCGTACGCGGGATGTTAAAAGAAGAAGGGGACATACCAATTAATGAAAATTGAGACCTTAGTCCCACAAAATAATGTTAATTTGATTCATACCTATACAGGGTCCGCCAACGAGGACTGAACAGGGCTCTAATTTTGACTTTTCCTGTATTTTTGGAGAAAACGAAAATAGCAGTTACATAGATGTAACTTTTTTTTGTAGAATTTGAAAATGTTACTTGGAAAACAATTGAGCCAGAAACAAAAGAGTTACGACGTATATCTTTGTTTTTTTAAATGGATTCCCGATTTTTTATTTCATATTTGAGAAGCGAGCGTGTTTTTACGTATCCAACGATATAAATTTTGTTGATAATATTGTTAATATCATAGCAATAGATGTCGCGATATGTTCTTTTATATACTATAAAAAAAAAACCCTTATCCATAATTTTTCACGGCATTATAAGGTAAATAATTACAGGTAGGTGATTCTCAAAATCAAGGCCCTGTTCAGTCCTCGTTGGCGGACCTTGTACATTTTATTTCGCATTTTGACGCTTGAGAAAACGTCTCATATCAAAAAATATTAAACACAGCCTCTTTTTTAAACTCTAATTTTTGGTTTCTAGAAAAACTGTAATTAAGTATGGAAGGGCAAAAGTAAGAGTCGGTCGATTTTTTTTTCACGTGAGCTCATAAAAAACATTATTTTTTTAAAACTTTTCCAGGTCTGTTCGTATTATGATCTTCAAAACACGATCTTATCCAAAATTCAGCGAATTTTTCATTCTTCTACTCACTGAATCGTTACCAGCAATCGGAAGCAGTCTTCTAGTTTTCAGTGTTTTACCAGACATGGACGTCGTAAAAGGCGCCATGCTTACAAACGCCATGTGTGTCGTCCCTAGTTTACGTAAGTCCTAATTAATTTTTGTTCCATTTTTGGAGTCGTTCAATTTATAATTTTTAGAGATGGTTCTGACGAACGTCGATTCTAAAAAGAAGGACGCATTGGTTACAAATGTTTCGGATATTGTTGCACTATTAGCACAAATTTCGGCCCTAATTGCATGGCCTCTGGTTCAGAGGAACAATCAAGCTTTATGGTTGATACCAGTTTGTACAATTCTTATATCTTTTGGATGGTGGGAAAACTTTATATCAGAATTGTCACCGGTAAGTATGGGAAAAATTTAGATGTTACAGAATATCTTGATCTGCAAAAGAGATCTCAGGCCATTACTTTATCCAAGTCTGGTATATTAATTGCAAATGTTTTTTTTTCTAATTTTCAGATTGTATTTATTAGGAGGTTGGCCAAATCAAGGAAAGACTTTCCACATAGCAAGTATTTTTGCTATTCAATTATTTCCGTTGTAAAGTGCTTATTATTTTTCACCACTTGTGTCGCAAGTATTTATTTCAAAGAAGGCGATGTAAAGTTTTTATTCGCCAATTTTGGTTCCATCTTCCAAGAACATCAAATGCTAGTAACAGAAGTATGTATTTTACCAAAATATTTTTTCATTTAGAAATTAACACAAAATTAACACAGGTGGTACCAACAGTAAACGGATTAACGATGACCATAGACGATGCCGTAAGTACAGGAGAACTACACTCTATCTTCAGCAATCCTACTCTTCAGATTACCGTCTGGGTAATTTGCATTTCGACCGCTTATCTTTGTTATGCTTTTGGAAAATTCGCTTGCAAAATAATGATGCAAGGTAAGAGTACAGAATTTTACGCGCCTAAACACAAATTTCATTCTTTCAACACAATAATTATTGTGATTTTACTAGTTTTCCGTGAAGAAGATGTGAACAAACTATTTTATAACAATGCGAGATCAGGAAGCAGAAAATGACACGCTCATAGCTGGATATTCAATAATAAACTAAACTCGTTTTGTCCTTTTCAGGAGCAAGCTTTGCTTTCCCAATTGCATTGGTAGTTCCAGTCCTTATTTCCGTATTGGTTATTGTATGTGGCTACTATGCTAAAGACGAATGTGCATATTACAACACAATACCTCCATATTTGTTTTTTAATTCTCCACCACTGCTCTATTTAGAAGACTTCGTTGGTCACCAATATGCCTGGTTATGGTTGGTATGGCTGCTTTCTCAGGTAAAACCTTGATTACCTCGAAGTTTATTTTTGTATATGTGAAATTTGTTTTAATTTCATAATTTATCACTAGTAGAAACTGATGCGACTAAACTCTGCCTTATTTCTTATAATTCTTGAGTTTTTTACTTCTAGATTTGGATCACAAGACATATATGGATTAATAAAAATTCCAAATTATCATCAACAGAACAACTATTTATGCGACCAATGTATGACAGTTTCCTTATCGACCAATCCCTTGCGATGAATAGAAGAAATGTGGTCGACCAATTGATAAAAGATGATGGTATGTCAGACATTTTCAAAATATATTGAAAATGAAGAATTGTTTTTCAGCAATTGGCGATGCCGATATAAAAACTCAGCTAGACCCAGACAAAATAACGAAAGTTTACGCTTGTGCTACGATGTGGCACGAAACACCCGAAGAGATGATGGAATTCTTGAAATCCATCTTCAGGATGGACGAAGATCAAGCAGCTCACAGAATTGTCAAGCAATATTTGCAATACCCAGATGAGGGCTATTATGATTGGGAGAGTACGTATATATTGCATTGTTTTCTATCTGTATTTTTATGAATAGGTATACCTAACTCTGGATCTGGATACGTTGATGAATAAAAAAAGTTCTAGTCCCGCTGGCAATCGACTATGAATGTAATCATTATTTTCTAAATATCTCAAAAACCCTTCCGCTAATCTGAACACATTTTTTTTTATCGCATATTTTGATATTTGACTATTAATACCCAAAAGGCAAGCTTTTCCCACCTACCTACGATTTCTCGTTAAGTTCGTTGCTATAAATACAAAGTACATTGACAAAGTTAATTACAAATTTTCAGCTCATATATTTTTTGACGATGCCTTCTTGAGAAAATCTGCCGACGACAACGATCCCATCCTTAACTCTTACGTGCAAGACTTGATTGCGACAATGAGCAAGGCAGCTTCTGAAGTTCATAAAACTACAGGTAAGTTCAGAGAGCAATAATTCAAATCGTGTCCATACAATATATATGTTGTACAGTTAGAATGCGCCCTCCTGTAATCTATCCCACTCCTTATGGAGGTCGCCTGGTATGGACCCTTCCTGGCAAAACCCTACTTATTGCTCATCTTAAAGACAAGGCCAAAATAAGAGCGAAGAAACGATGGTCCCAGGTTATGTACATGTATTACCTTCTTGGACACAAGTAAACCTTATGAGTTGAAAAATTATTTTATATTTAACATTTTGTTTCCAGAATCGTAGATAACGATGAACTTACTGATGAAAGGGTTGCCCTTCAATCTAAAAATACCTACATCTTAGCTTTGGACGGAGATATTGATTTTCAACCAGACGCAGTACATCTACTCATTCAATACATGAAGAAAAAGCCCAATTTAGGAGCTGCTTGTGGACGTATTCATCCAGTCGGTAAGTAGATGCAACAGGATTCGGTAAATGGCTGTGGCCTATATACATTTTGAAAATTGTTTCAGGATCCGGTGCAATGGCCTGGTATCAAGTATTTGAATACGCAGTAGGGCATTGGATGCAAAAAGCCACTGAACACGTAATTGGCTGCGTACTTTGTTCGCCCGGTTGCTTCTCATTATTTAGAGCTGAAGCCCTTATGGATCATAATGTGATGGCAAGATATACAACGAGATCTACCGAGGCAAGACATTACGTTCAGTATGATCAAGGTAAGAAATTGTGTTAGGTACCTACTACAAATAGGTTATTAAAATTAAAGGTACATATAATTTTATAGGCGAAGACCGATGGCTCTGCACTCTTCTTCTCCAAAGAGGTTATAGAGTAGAATACTCAGCAGCTTCAGACGCTTACACCCATTGCCCAGAAGGTTTTAACGAATTTTACAATCAAAGGAGACGTTGGATGCCTTCCACTATGGCTAACATTCTCGATTTGCTGGAGGATAGTGTGCATATTAAGCAAGTTAACGATGATATATCCACTCCATATGTTTGGTACCAGGCAAGTTGAAGCTTATTTTTTGCATTACATCCTGAATTTTTTTTGGCGTGGAAGCGTCAGCTACAAATTCTTCTAATTCAAGTCTCAAAACAGCAAAATCGGAACATCGAATAGTTGTCAATCACCGAATATCGATAATAATTGAATGATGATTGATCGTTACCTAAAGACAACATTATTTCTGCTAGCGGGACATAGAAAAGTTATTATGGGAAGATATTCAAATTGATGATAACGTGTCGTATTCACTGAGGTTCACAGCCTAATTGCCTTCTTGGGCTGGTATCCTCCATTCAGTTGCCTGGCCTTCTCCGTTCAAAGAGAGCCACCTCCGGGCTTTCGGCAATAGTCTCGAAAAACAAAGTTGGAACACGTAAATAGCTCGCTCGCTAATCTGGATTTGCTGTTGAAGGACGTGAAGTTGCTTCGAAGTACAATTTCCAATAAGACAACTCAGTACACTGCAGACGTACATAAGCGAATATCGTGTTTTTAGTTAAGATATTACAGCGACTAGCTATAACGACTTAGTTCACTGTCCCAGCAACTTTTTTTATGAACAGATTTCACTGTAGCTGATCTCGTTTTAAAAAAAAATGACTTGACAGCGAAACGGCTACCCACCTGCTTATTCTCTTTTTATGTTCTAGATGATTTTGATGATCGGTACAGTAATTGGCCCAGGAACCATATTTCTCATGTTAATTGGAGCTTTTGTCACTGTCTTCAATACGTCTCAATACACTGCTTTATGGTGGAATATAGCTCCGGTTCTAGCCTTTTCGTTAACATGTGTATTCACCAAATCAGACACACAGGTAAATACCAAATAAAAAGTATTTCCGGAGGGTCTTGTGAAAGAACAAAATACCAATAAAATGGCCGAATTCTCTCTTTTCTCAAGAAAAATACTTCAAATGCCTAGATTAAGGATTTTTTGGGATAAATAACTATTTTTCTAGTTACTTGCTGCAGCTGTAATAAGTGGAGTTTACGGTCTTATTATGTTGACGGTACTTATTGGTGTAGCAATGCAGATTCACGAAGATGGTCCGCTAGCACCATCTTCTCTTTTCTTTTTCCTAATGATGGGTGAGTAAAAAGTTCAATTATTTATTGTTATCAATATAAGAATGGTAATATTTTTATAATTTTCAACCAGGTGAATATGTCGTGGCAGCAATTGTACACCCTAAGGAATTTTATTGTTTACAATATGGGCTAGTCTACCTAATCACTGTGCCCAGTATGTACATGTTGTTGGTAATATACTCAGTATTTAACATGAATAACGTCAGTTGGGGGACAAGAGAAGTCACTGTAGTTCCAAAACTAACAGCGGTAAGTTCAAAAAAAGGCAAATTTTATTAATGATAGAGATCCATTAAATATACAGCAAATCTAAGCATACGTTTTTAGGATTTTTAAGAATGTTGTAAGCCATAGTCATTAAGTCTCTTTTTTTGTGTTAGGAGGAAGAAGCAAAAAAAGCTGTTGAAGAGCCCAAGAAAAAAGCATCATCGCCGTGGTACAAATCAGTCTTCACTTCTTTAGAATCAAGATATCTGCTCATGATAAGTAACTCGCTAATGAGTATCCAGCAAAAAGTAGACCGTATGGATCAAAAAATCGATGATTTAGAAAGAATTGCTATGGATCCAACTGCTGAACTTCCACGAAAAACGGCTGGACAAAGAAAACCAACCATAATTGAAGGTATTCTTTATACATATAAGATTTTTGAGGAGATATTAGTTGATTTTTTTTCTTGGCAGCCTATTTTTTCTATTTGTGTTGAGAAATGGTCAAAATCATTGGATCATGGATCATTTTGTCCGTATGGGTATTCTCATAGTCTTGGTTGATACAAAAAAACGCAAATCACATACATAATAATAAAAATGAGATCCTAATCTAATATAGAAATTTATCAGAGGTCCCACACACCTACTGCTACGGTCACTAGTAAAAAGTGATGAATTCATCCAAAAGGAAGAACCCTCATAGCGAACAAAATGACTACCATGCACTTAAAAATTCAGAGGAAATTATAGTACCTATTGTTTATTCTTGGTCATTATAAGCAGCTTAGGTTTTACATATAATATTATCATTTATGTCCGATTGACCAATAAAGTGTTATTTATAGAAGGGTTTTGCGTCAATGAAGTAGCACTTTATTGTACTAGTAAAATAAAGTGCTACTTTATTGTCTACCTGGACTACCTGACAGCCTGCCAAGGTGAAATAGGTATACTCGAATTTTGATTTTTCCTTTAACTTTTTTAATTTTTAATAAAAACCTGTCGCAGTCGTACATAAAATCATGTATATAACGCTTACATAAACAGGCTTTATTGACTCATTATTGAATAGCCTCGCTCGCAAGCTCGCTCGACCATAAAATTATTCGTACAATAAAGCCTTACTTTATGTACTTATTATATTAATTAGCTATTACAAAATTTGTTTTGTGAAGTAAGCAATATAAATATGGAATAACACTATTTTATTTTAGGATCTAGAGGATCCAGATTGTCGGTTAGACCATCTGTACTACGAAAATCCACTCTAGAAAAACCTGGTGCCTTCCAAACGAGTTCTCTTGAGGAATATGACTTTGAAGACGATGATTCAATGGGAGCTCCGTCAGATGATCTACAAAATAATAATTGGTTCTACGATGGGGAATTAATTAGAGGTCGCGTTACCTTCTTGGACAAAAAAGAAGAAAACTTCTGGAAAGATTTGCTCGACAAGTATTTGCATCCGATTGAGGATGACAAGGTACATAAATTATATTAGTATTAAATAAATAGGTATATGAAAAACTAACTTTAAATCCAGTTAAAGTCACTTTCTAGTTATATTTGATATGCCACCATTGCCACCAATAATTAGTTCATACATGGTACCTAGTTGAGGGAATTACTAAGTAGGTACTGTCTTATTTTTTTTTTAGGAAAAAGTAGCAAAGGACCTGAAGGATTTGAGAGACAAAATGGCAATGAGCTTCTTTTTTATAAACATAATGTTTGTTACAGTTACTTTTTTACTTACTCTAAAAAAGGAAATATTGCATCTCAATTGGCCGTTTAATCCATCTGTTAACTTTACTTATTCTGCTGCAACAAATATTAATGAGGTAAGCGATCATCTACCTACGAAAAATTTTTTGTCAAATAATTGTAAAAAATAAAGAATTTAGTAGTAAGTCCGAATAATTAATATCAGTTAATTCAATTAATTTCAGATTATTGTTAACAAAACCTACTTGGAATTAGAACCTATTGGTTTTGTATTTCTTATATTTTTCTTCTCTCTGATGGCGGTGCAGTTTGTTGCTATGTTAATTCACAGATTCGGTACTTTCGCACAGATTATGGCCAACACAGATTTGGATTTTGGCGAAACCAAGGTAAGAATTCAAATTGAAAATACGTATTAGGGAATAATAATTGTCTTCGTACATTTTTAGTTCGCATTTCCTTTTCAATCTTCATTTCTAATTCCAATTCCATCCAAAATTGTCAAATAGGTTTTTTTTCAGACTCAAAACTGAGGGAGTTACAACACTTTTGAATAAGCTAATCAGACATTAAATTCAGTACCTACTTACCTACTTACTATAATACTATACGATGAAAGAGATCTAAATAATTCTGTTCTCGAACCCATGGATTTTTTTTTTTTTGTTTAAATCAATATTGGCATGTTGGGTATTTATTTCTTCTTTACAACATTTTTAGATCGAAAATATGACTGAGGACGAGCTTTTAGAAAAAGACCCAATAAAGATATTTAGAAAATTGATAAAATTGAAGGGTGTCAATGGTGATGATGAGAAGGACGAGGATGTAGATGTTCACGTAACGAGAAGAAAAACAGTGGCTGGTCTTTTCAAAGACAAAGATAAGAAACGAGCAGTTATCAACGATTTGGACTCTGCGTTTCATGCTAGGATGGCCAAAATTCGATCTGGCCAAGAAAGTAAGCATGGATAACTATGAAGTACCTTCTTGCAAAAATTATAAAGTTATCATATTTTTTTTACATTAGCTGATATTCCTGTTCCAAGAAAAACTCTGGCGGCAATACAGCGCAGAAGGACTGTGTTAAATAGAAAATCACAAATGCAATCGACGCAAGCGTTCGATCCATCCGCTTTCAGTAGTTTTGCACAATTAAACGCCAAGTCCCCAATTCAGCACCATTTCGATAATCCTGCGTTCCAAGAAGATCCCGCTATGGCTTAAATAATTAAATAATAATGATAATAATTCCAAAATAGATCCTACTTCGCGACCTATACATATTATAACATATTAATTATTAGGTAATACCGGGTTATTCACTATATTTTGACCCCCCCACCTGCAGCCTTTACCTTTACAGGTAGATGATAGGTGTGAATAGGAAAGTTTTTAGAATCCATCGTCATCAGAAACAAAAAATTATTGTCAGAAATTTGAAATTTTGCGTACATTTAACTTTTTTCTAATGGATTGCCCTATATTTGATTCTATATTCTTCAAGAGCACAATTTTCCGATTACAGAAATAGATAGTACCTATCTCTATATTTGGTTGAGCCGTCTCGAACTTATTTGGCTCTAAAAATTGTAAAAATACTATCTTACTGACTTAGATTTTGTGAACCATTCTACCTGTCAAGGTGAAAGCTGCAGATAAAATTCGAGGCACTTGGTTTCTCTGATAGAATTTTTTAAAATTTTAGAGCCAAATATGTTGGAGATAGCTCAACCAAATATAGACAATCTATATATTGTTGGAATCGGAAAGTTGTGCTCTTCAAGTATATAGAATCAAATATAGGGAATTCCATTTGAAAAAAAATTAAAAGTACGCAAAATTTTCAATTTCTGACAATAATTTTAATTAATTTTATTAATAAAACTGCACAACTTTTGTATTTACCCCTATCAACTACCTGTAAAGGCTGCAGGTGGGGGGTCAAGTCAGTAAATACATGAAATAATTGGATGATATAAGTAATTGGGCATATCATTTACTTCAACAATTTTAATAATACTATATTTTTTTTATGTGAAACCTTTATTTACCCTTCTGGTTTACGCCCAGTACCTACTCACCTCCCTAACTGGGTAGCTGTTGATGCACCTGGATTTTTTTTTTTAATTTAAATGAAACGATTTGTATCTATGTCTAATTTAGTAGCTACGTATTATCAGCTAACCCCACAAAATATATAAAAATCCTTAATCGAACAATAAATTAGTGAACAAATAGTAATTTTCATAGTGATAATTTCCAGCATCACTTAAGTTATGAAAACTATTCATCCGAATTCTCAAAACGAGGAACACACTTACAGAAAACAGAAAATTTTCTACGAAATTATGTTACTTTCTGAAAATATAAATGTAAACCTTTCATTTTTTTAAATGCAATTTACAGGCTACGTGCCTTTTGACCGAAATCACTTTATAGTTTATAGGTATAGGTATTAGAAAATTAATTAACGGAATGTGCCTCAATCAATTGAATCAATTCTGTGAAAGATGTGTGTGTGTGTTATAAACCAGAATGAGTGATAAAAATAAGAAAAAAAAAACATTCATGATTCATAAAATAATTATTTCAATAGGTACCTATAGTTCGCCTTACGAGTCTAGCACTACGACATCTGAAGGGCAAGGGGGAATAACGCCATTCATTTCGAGCTTTATGCTGCCCGTCATAGGCGTGCGCGCAGCGTTTTTAAATATTACTTTTTCCTTATAAATGTAGGTGTGTAACATAGATAAATATTAAGGTATTTGCTATTGGAAGTCAAATAGGCAATATTGCAATTTTTTTATCCGCATTCTTTCTATAGTGCTAGACTCGTAAGGTGAACTTTACAAGGTCTGTTTTTTATAATTAGTGCGGCTTTTACAACTAACAAAAAAAATAATAAAAAAAAGGTAAATACAAAAGTTGTAGAGTTTTATCTCTATTATTTTTTGTCAGAGATATGTGGGGGAAATAGAATGCGCTTAGACGACTGCGCATCAGATTTTATGGTAACGCATAGGGTGTCGCCATTTTTATCACTTTTCATTTATGCCGTTTCCGATTAGTGAATCCAGTGTAGTTTTCTTTATTTCTGTCTTTTTCTTCTACAGGTTGATGAAAAAGGATGAGAAAAGACTCAGTGTGCATTAAGGGTGAGGTCCGTTGTCTAACCTGGTTAACCGGTCGGTACAATGTCGGTTGACAGCGGTTGACAACGATTGACAAGCGGTTGCTGAAAATTTCGGTTTAATACGGAACGCTTTTCCAATCACAGAATCGCCGCCGGCCGGTTGCCTTGGTGACATGTTTGACATAACCAACCGCGTTCCGTATAGACCGGTTTTTCAGGAACCAGACATTACGGAACGTGTAACCGTAACCAAGGTTGACAACGGAACCCACCCTAAATCTACCAGTCGGAAACGCCATTAGTCTTTACATTGACAACTTCATTCTGACAAATTTTTCACAACATAACCTTACTTTTAGTCGGTTACAGATTATTGTTTTTAGCGATTTTTCCTACTTTTTCTGAGATATTTTTATCAGAACGGTGTTTTAAAAGATTTCTTTTTGTTATTTCTGCTTATTTTTGGAGCTATGAGTTGTTCATGACCTATTTTTCCAACACTTAATTTGACAAGTGATAAAAATGGCGGTCCTTCAAATTCGGCTAGTTGCGCAGGATGGACCCTTATTCTATTCTAACCTTTTTCTAACCAACAACTCTCCCATATCTCTGTTTTTTGTACATTTCAAAACGGACAAAAGCCAGTAACTGTCATAATGACAAACACTTGCATTTTTTTAAATGGAAAACCCTGTATATTTTTGAATAGAATAATAGATTTTCTTCTTCTGATAGTATTTTTTGTCTGAGAGATATTCCCGATTGCTACTTTTTAAATTGTCACCCTGTATGTGTGTGTTTGGAATCAGATTCAGAAATCATTCTAGCCAAAAATATACAGGGTGTTCCAATTTTAAAAAAATAGTGTTTTCTCATTATGACATTATGATAGATGGCACCTGTCATTTTCCCGTTTTGACATGAGCAAAAGATAATGAGATAAAAACCTAGAACTTTTGTATTTCACTTTTTTTGTTTAAGTTGTAGAAGCTGCACCTAATTATAAGCAGACCCTGTATATATAGAACAATAATTAGTCTATTATATAATGATAGCCATTCATTAATATACCTAATATACCCACGAGCATGTTGTGTATAGGTTACTAATGGCAGTTACATGAGAGTTGCAATAGTAAACTTTTCAACTGGTATAGTGCCATCTATTGACAATTTTGAACAAACAAATCTGTTATTTTTGAATAAACATTGATCATGTTTAAAATAACTCGATTTCAGTGGCTGAAAAATGTGTATCTTATGAAGTTCATTATGGAAAAGATTTTAATCTTTTAATTAGCGTATTGACACACAAGTGATCCATTATGTTCCTAGCTCGGATTTAGTCACTGTAGTAGCCTGCAGGGCCGTATCTAGACCAAAATTTTGGGGGGGGTTAGACAAAGTGGCAAAAAAAATTGTTAAACTAGTAATAAAAAAAAAAAAATTAATAAGTATTTAATAAGTGTTGTTTGTTTTTAAGTTAAATTTTTTGAATTCTATTATTTTGGGGGGGGGGGGTTTGAACCCCCAAAACCCCCCCCTATACACGGCCCTGGTAGCCTGTATAGCTAGGAGGACCATAAAGATTCTATGCATTAGTTGTATTCCTTTCATACCTAGGAAGAGCTCCGGAACAGCTCCGGGGCTTCACGCGCTTATTCCTTTCGAAAAGTGTTAGTTGCACCACGCATCTGTTCCCTGCAAATCGGGGGCGAATAAACCCCGGAGCAAGTAGCTCGAGTGTTTCAAGCTCTTGAAAGGAATACAACTATTGGGTCATTTGTTCGTTTTTATAAAGTACGAGCATAAATAAATACGGATATTACCAAGATACCAAGTTGATTTGCTTCTCCAGGTTCCATATGTCCGGAGCAGTAAGATGTGTTCCGAGCTATAGTTCATTGGTTCCGAGAGACCTAATATCCAATTGACATGTAAAGTGAACAAATTTGAGTCATTTGACATACGTCGTAAATTCATAGGGGCAGCAGTTTATTTTACCGAAAATCCAAGAAAAAAGCAGTGATTGAGTTGTGGTGGAAGAAAAACCCACTTCTTGACAAATAACTATTTCTTGGCGATTTATGCTGGCCATTATTTCCTTTTAGCCAGTTGATGAAATAGCGGCGACCTCGAATATAAGCTGCTTACTAGCTAACCATTTTCTGACCTATCTTCAAGAAATGGAGCTGAGTTGCACGTACGATTTTATACAACCAAGGTGAGATCTTACCTCCCTATTTAGTCTTTACTCCTGCTAAGACACCCGTATTTTCGACTGAGATATATTAGTTGTATTCCTTTCACACCTAGCTCCGGAACAGCTATTTCAAATCGGGGTCGAATAGCGCCGGAGCGAGTAGCTGTAGTATTCTAACGTCTTGAAAGGAATACAACTAGGTGTCTGGATGACGACCCGGGGAACGCTCCGAGTTCAACAAAAAATGGGATAGATGCATAAAAAGAGCGTGCTCAGAGTGAAACCGACAATATGCTGAACTTTGCACCAGCACCAAACATAAATTGATTACCTCCCTCTCAAAATGCCAGCTTTTTTGCGAGGTGGGAGTCGAATAATACTGATCATTAGCTCTTTTCACGTGGCTCCGGTTTAACTAACCGGGTTACAAAACGGTTAGAGAAATGACATACCGTTTTCTAACCCGGTTACAAAGTGACGTGATGGATACCTACAACTCGAATTTGAGCGGTATGTTGCGGTTTGTTAAACCGGAACCACGTGAAAAGGGTTATTGGTTCATCAGTACTTGCTTAGGAATTACCCAATTCTTGATCTAAGTAAAAGTAGTTTCTCGAATCACCAAACATAAAAGTGCACATGGTTTTATTTTAATGGTTTTCACTTAGTTTTGAATTGAACAACACTTGTGCGTTTGTCTAAGTATCCAGTTTTAATTTCCAATCTTCAGGCTTAAGCATTGCAAATTCGGAATTTTGACAAATTCCTTGTTCGGACCGTTCTAGTATCGTCCGCATAGTTCTTGTATTTATATATATGACGAAGTCTAGATTATTTTGTATCTCAGATCTAGTGCCTCTAGTTCATGGGCGAAGTTAGGGCATCATCAGATCTGGGGGGGCTACAGCCCCAGGCCCATAGGGGGAGGGGGAGGCCCGCCGCAAGCGCCGCCGCGCCGGAGTCAAGAAAATTTTTGGGGTTCCACGCCCAGAAACGTTCATTTCGACCCACAAAATGAACGATTTTGAGCGTTCTGAGCCTTCAATTAGGCATTAACATTGAGACTGGACCGAAAATATTTAAATGCACATACCTAGATTAGTTAAAGTATGGTTATTGAAAAAAAAAAAAAAGTATAGTATGTTTGGTTTTTTGTAATTTCTATTTTCTAATATGTGTATGTGTGATGAAGTGCGAATTATTTTTGGGGGGGCTTAGACCTCCCAAGCCCCCTTAACTTCGCCCATGCTCTAGTTCGAACGTGGAAATCTAGTTTAAGCTCCATTTTTCTCTTCTCCTCCTACTCAGATCAGATGATGAACTTATGAAGATACATCAGGTACTAAATAAACCTTCACAAACATTGGCGACAATATAAAGGTCCCAGTGCAATTTTGGGGCTTTGCCTCTTGCTAATTTTAAATATGAATATATAGGATTCAAATAAACATCCATCATAAAAAATTGAAAACAACGTATTTGATTACTATTCTATTATTATAGGTAAATGAATGGATGTCCATTCAATTCCTATACAGGGTGTCCCAAAAAGATACCGACAAACTTTAAGGGGTAGTAGGGGACATCAAAACAAGCATTTTTGTTGATATAAACATATGTCCCCAAATGAGCCATTTGGGCTGTAGAGCAAAAAAACTGTTTAGTATCTAGTTTTATTCTTCGCAATAATTAAATCACTGTTTACTTATTAATTTTGCTTTAATAGCAAATAAATTATGGTTTACAATAATTGTTCAACTCGCGAACTCTTTGGAATATTCCGGGAATAGCTTCTACATGGGTACAACTCGCCAGTATATCCTTGCTATCAGATCTTCCTCATTACGAACAGGTGTTTCGTAGACTAAACTTTTCAGTCAATGATCCGACGGTGTAATCTTTGCATTGAAGTAAATGGTCAACATTTTGAACAATTATTGTAAACCATAATTTATTTGTTAATAAAGCAAAATTAATAAGTAAACAGTGATTTAAATATTGCGAAGAATAAAAGTATCAAACAGTTTTTTTGCTCTACAGCCCAAATGGCTCATTTGCGGACATATGTTTATATAAACAAAAATGCTTGTTTTGATGTCCCCTACTACCCCTCAAAGTTTTTCGGTATCTTTTTGGGACACCCTGTATATTCATATTTAACATAAGCAAGAGCTAAGGCCCAAAATGGCGGCGTTCTCAATATGAATATGTAGGATTTTAAAGAATCAATCAAAAATAAGACGGCAATTATGTCGCCACTGTGGCTTAACAGAGTCAATGAGGATATTTACAAGCAGGCAAGGATGATACACACTACTACTACAGGATAGCCTAACCCTCAAAAGGCCTGTGTGGAACAAATATCGTAATAAATTTAACAGAGTGTTGGAAAACGCGCATTTTTGAACTTGGCTAGGCCAGAGAACTCTTTAGGCTACATTAGTTGTATTCCTTTCACATCTAGGAGGAGCTCCGGAACAGCTCCGGGGCTTTACGCGCTTATTCCTTTCGAAAAGTGTTTGTTGCACCTGAGTACTCAAGCCCAACTCAAACCATTTAGGGCGGGTATTATAAAACTGCTTTGACAGTTAACTTGAAGTTAACTTTTTGAATTACATGTAATTCCAGAAGTTAACTTTAAGTTAACTCTCAAAGTAGCTTTATAATACCCGCCCTTAAATGCATGAAACCCAGCGCATTTGTTCCTTTCAAATCGGGGTCGACTAACACCGAAGCGAGTAGCTCTAGTGTTTCAAACTCTTGAAAGGAGTACAACTATCAAGGATAATACACACTTCTACATGATTGCACATCCGCCTCGATTTTTGGAAACAAGTTCATATGGTGTTGCACCGTTTCCGATGTCATCAACAGTGTCGTTAGAGGTTTGCGCCAGCGGTCGTAGTTGAGAATATACATTTATGATTAATGATATTATACCTCATAAGAATATGTATGGTGTCCTCAATGTTGATGACGCACGGGCAAAGTTAAAAAATAAAAACTGTAATTAAGTGATCGAGAACACAAAAATTTATTATTATTAACAATAAAAATTATTATTGAAGTTGTTGCAGATAGGTAGAGAGTCCAATTGACAAATAAATCACAAATTACAGAAACATAAATTTTTCTGTTGGATATTTTTGTGAAAAACTATATCGGTATGAACTGTTAAAACCGAAATGATTGGTCCGAACCGGATCGAAATATTTCTCTTAGAACCGGAACCGATATTTATCATGACGCTGTGGACGGGAACCGGAACGGAACCTATATTTCATTTTGGTCCAGTTCCCTGGTTACAAGACTGCTTTCCAGCTGGCCGCTTAATGCACGCAATCGAGCACTTGCGTGCACAAAGCGCGTGAAAATTGTGTTCCATCTGCCAATGGGCTTGGAACGCAACCTACCCTCCTCCCTGCTTCTTGATGCACAACCCCTCACAAGTTATATTTCATTTAGGGTGGGTATTATAAAACTGCTTTGACAGTTAACTTGAAGTTAACTTTTTGAATTACATGTAATTCCAGAAGTTAACTTTAAGTTAACTCTCAAAGTAGTTTTATCATACCCGCCCTTAGGGCGGGTATTATAAAACTGCTTTGACATAATACCCGCCCTTAGGGCGGGTATTATAAAACTGCTTTGACAGTTAACTTGAAGTTAACTTTTTGAATTACATGTAATTCAAGAAGTTAACTTTAAGTTAACTCTCAAAGTAGTTTTATAATACCCGCCCTTAAGAGTTTAGAACACTAGAGCTACTCGCTCCGGTGTTATTCGACCCCGATTTGAAGGGAACAGATGCGCTGGCTTTCGTGCATATAAGGGCGGGTATTATAAAACTATTTTGAGAGTTAACTTAAAGTTAACTTCTGGAATTACATGTAATTCAAAAAGTTAACTTCAAGTTAACAGTCAAAGCAGTTCTATAATACCCGCCCTAAATGGTTTGAGTCGGGCTTGAGCACTTCAAGTGCAACAAACACTTTTCGTAACGCTGCGGAGCTGTTCCGGAACTCCTCGTAGATGTGAAAGGATAAAATTTTTTTGAAGCCGTTAAAAGTTAAAGGACACTCAAATAGTATCGTACCAATCGTACCACTAATGGTACCACCATAGTTTTTGAGTGCAAGCTAGCTGTAAAGCTTTGGCAACATTGCATTTTAAGTGAAAAATTTGGGTACCTCTTTCGTTTTTATACTAGTCGCGTCAATGCTATCTGTCATTCGACGCTTCCCGCTAATCTTTATTATTAAGCTGGGTTCGGCTATTCAGCGCGGAGTTGGAGTGGAGTGAACAGAGCTAATGGAGTCACCCCTAATGAGGTAAAAAGAGCCGCTTTCCAGTATGGGAGTGTGACGCCCGGAGCTACTCGGGGCGTTGAGCCCCCGAGCTGTACGTACGCGTCAACCATCAGCTGTCACATCTGTGGGTGGCTATTTATCTATTTATTTCTTGTTATATCTCAAGATTGAACATTTTAAAATATATAGTTTTGATTCCCTTTCATTTTTGATGAATAAAAAAACAAACTGCACAAACAAACAGATAATTATTTTTAAAATTTGACATATTTGACACTAAGACAGGCGTCGCACGCCATGATACTGGAACGGTACAAATCTAGTGCGTGGCGCCCCCGAGGTGCTCTGGAGCGCGCCAGAGCACGCCAATGTGCATACTGGAAAGCGGCTAAGCAATACCCGCACTTTAACCCGAACGGCTGGAGTGCGAATGGAGTCACTCGGAGTGCACGGAGTGAGCAAGCCGAACCCACCTATAGTTGTTGCTGTTGTCCCGGTTCGGTTTATTTCATAGAGGAGAGGTTTGGGCTGAGTTCAGCTTTACGCTCTGTAAACTCTGAACGCGCTCGAAACGATAAGTTCCTGTTCGTTTTAGCTCTCTAGCTCTCAGAGTGTTCTCTATTGCGTTCGGGTTACAATCGAGCACGTACCCTGAGGTCGCTCTCTTTTCATGGATGAATGGAGAACCGGAGAAATTAGTTATTAACTGTCAGTTTTGAAAAATTATAATCTAAAATAATTTTAAAAAAAAATTAATTCGGATTGCGTTTCCGGTTTTTTCCCCCAGTTTTATTTCAGGTCCATTACTAATTAACCTACTCGTTTGCTAGTGAAATAAAATTAAAATCGATATGAAACATTTTTTTTTTTTTAGATTAGTTACAACTGTGACAAGGATTTCAGATCCTTGCCATACCGTTCCGCTCCGTGGAGTGCAAAGCCGAACTAAGCCTTAGATATTCGTAGTTTATCCTGCATTCTGCATTGTGTGTGAATGAACACGAAGGTGCCTAGAGCAGCGTGGAGTCAGGGAATAGAAACAAACACGGAGATGAGTTTATCCAAAAAAAGCCAAACACCAAACTACACAATAATTAAAAAGAAAAAAAGCTGCTAATAGGAAATTTTTCGCGAGGATAATTAATTAAGCATAATCTGATTATACTGAATTATGTGATGTGTCAATTGTGTCATACTCCCCTAACTCCCTCCCCATCAAATTTTGGGCCTACGAGTGATGTCAATATCAGGAGCATATAGTGATGACGTCACCCGGAGTCCTCGAAGAAATGCTCGTGATTCAGGCTGTGCTAGTGAGTTAATTTTTTCGTCGAATTCAAATGTAGAAAAAGTTATTTTCGGTCTGTTCTCACAGAAGAAATTAAGTGTTCGGGATCTTCGACACTCGCGTATCCTAGAATTTGATAGTGGGAGAGTTAGGGGAGTATGACACAGTTGACACATCACATAATCCAGCATAATCGATTATGCTTGATTATCCTTGCGAAAAATTGCCTAATAGTTGTATTAGTTGTATTCCTTGCAAGAGTTTAAAGCACTTCAGCTACTCGCTCCGATGTTAGTCGACCCTGATTTGAAAGGAACCGATGCGCTGGCATTCGTGCATTAAATGGTTTGAGTTCGGGCTTGAGCACTTCAGCTACAACAAACACTTTTCGAAAGGAATAAGCGCGTAACGCCCCGTAGCTGTTCCGGAACTCCTAGGTGTGAAAGAAATACAACAATTACTTTCACACCTAGGAGGAGCTTCGGAACAGCTCCGGGGCGTTACGCGCCTATTCCTTTCAAAAAGTGTTTGTTGTTTGTTACACCCTGAGTGCTCAAGCCTCAAGCCCGAACTCATGCCATGCACGAAAGCCAGCGCATCTGTTCCTTTCAAATCAGGGTTGACTAACACCGGAGCGAGTAGCTCTAGTGTTCTAAACTCTTGAAACGAATACAACATATCACTAACATCAAAAAATAAACGAAAATTAAAAAAAAAAACTGACGGAGTATTTGTGGCCGAAAAAAATAGGGTTTCTCTACCTAACGATAAGTGACCCAAGTTGAGAATTTGGACGGTTTTGTTAAATCCTCAATATAACAAAATGGGAAATAGGGATCACTTAACGTTGAGTACACTTAACTTTTGCTTGGTGGAAATGGCAATAACAAAACAGTGCGCACCTAGTTCGCACTGAGGGCAAAAGCAAAAATATTGAATGCTCTTTAATTCACACGAACTTAGGGTGATGTAATTTACAGATCCAGTTTCAAAACAAATTGTTATTCTTGGCTTTTTTTATTTTCACAGGCTATCACTAGAAAGACACACTAATTTGCAAATAAAAAACGCTTAAAACCCTTTTCACGTAGCTCCGGTTTAACAAACCGCAACATACCGCTCAAATTCGAGTGGTATCGATCACTTCACTTTGTAACCGTTTTCTAACCCGGTTACAAAATGAAGTGATCGATACCACTCGAATTTGAGCGGTATGTTGCGGTTTGTTAAACCGGAGCCACGTGAAAAAGGTTTTAGAAATTTCAAATTACTGACAATCAATGCTGACAATTGACGTTTCAATTCAGCGCTCTCTTCTCTAACCTATCCGCATCCGCCTCCGCGCCGCCGCCAAAAAACTTCATTGTCCAAAAAGCCGGCAATCCGGGAAGTCCAGCAGTTTTTGTTTTTATTTTTTGGTTGTTTTTTTTTATTCTGAAGTTCAGTTTTCCTCAATTTACTATGTAATAAGTCAATTCTAGTTTGTTTCTTTCATCGTTCAAATAAAACATCGTGAAAATGAGGAAAGGATCGACATCCCCCAGCAAACGGTAAGTGTGTAGGTCTAAGGGGCAACGCGCCTTTTTGTGCTCTAAACTAAAGTACGTTTAAAATAAGAATCTACAGTTAAGGTCACACACAGTCAAAGTCTAGACACACACTCCGAGCCTCGGACGAGAAACCCCCTTGCTCTGGCCGGGTCCTCTAGACACCACTCATAACCGAGGCTCGTCAGTGTTTTGTTCATTTTCTTTGTAGTCAAGATTTCTTAAAATCGTTGTCCGTCACGTGAAAAATTTCGGACACGGCCCGATCATGTACGGACTGAGATTTTTTCAATGGTTTATTTTGTTCTCCGAATGACGGCTTATACTCATCCGAGGCTCTGTCTAGACCTTTACTCAGCAGTTTCGCTTGCCCAGCAGCTTGAATAACAATCTACTTTATACACGGTTTGGAGAATTTTTGTTGCTGTGCTGTGGTGGACCAGTATCTACAAGTTTGCAATGTTTTACATATCTCGTAGTTTTTTTTGAATTGTTTGTGTTTTGCTCTCGCCCTGTAAATAATTCAATGATATTATGATGAGTTGTACCTACGATAAGACAAGGATTACCCAATTTCATGCCCAATTCCTTAATTCTTGATTGGGTATTAATGGTATTATTGTTCAGGTCCTAATCGACTTTATTGTAATCATGGTTTTTGTTAGACAATTGCGAGGACAATTGTTTGTGTGGATTTTAAAGTTATTTAAAACATGCACCCTCACTTACATCTGAGCTCACATAATACACATGAGATAGGTCTATAAACCTAGCAGTCCTAAGGTGGAAAAAAAACTTCTAGGAATATATAATAATTAGGTGCTAATTAGGGCCTGTAATTAAAAATTAGGCGCTCCTTTAGTTTTTGAGAAAATCAACAAAAACTAACTAAACAGAATTAGTGCTTTTCAGGTGCTCCTAACTAGTCGAAGAAAACATTGAATCGGTTAATAATTATCAACTGACTTACAGAGTTTGTTTTCCTATTAGGGGACTGCTGGCTTTACATTTACTTGCGGGTGTTTTTGCAGCGAATCTGATAACACTGGCTAAAACGTTGTTGTATTGGAAATAGGTGCTATTTAAGTGCTCCTAAATAGTCCAAGAAAAACTTGAACCAGTTAAGTAATTATTAACTGAATTACGGACTTTTTCCATTATTAGGATATTGTTGGCTTCACATTCACTTGGTGGTCTGTCAGAGGCCATAAGGTTTCTGGATAGGAATTGGGTGCTATTTAAGTGCTCCTGAATAGTCGAAGAAAAACTTGAATCAGTTAATTATCAACTGTTTTAGATTTTTTTTCATTATTAGGGGACTGCTGGCAGTCCCTTAGTTTTTTTTGATTTTCTCAAAAAATAAAGGAGCACCCAGTTTTCAATTGGAGGCCCTAATTAGCACCTAAAAAGGACCTAACTATCATATAGACTCCGAAGCTTTGTTTCCACACCACCAAGTAAATGTGATCCAAAAATTTCGTATTAATGAAAAAAATCTGTACTTCAGTTAATAATTAACTGATTCAAGTTTTTCTTCGACTATTTAGAAGCACTTAAATAGCAACTAATTCCAATACAACAACATTTTAGCCACTGTTATCAGATTCGCTGCAAATACACCCACAAGTAAACGTAAAGCCAGCAGTCCCCTAATCTATATATATAAAAATTAATGCCACTTTTCGTTGTAATTTTATAACTCAAGAACGGGCTCACCTAGCCAAACCAAATGTTTAGGCTTTGTTCGGACTATTTATTAGATGGTTTATGTGAAGTTTGCACAAAATCGGTCGAGCGGTTCTTCATTTATCACATTTTTTGTAATAAATGAATTATTCAATAAATGGAGGATCATTTTGTTAATGGGGATTTTGCTGTCAAATTTAAACTTTTTTCGGCGTTGACAGTACCAGCATGTTGTTATGTCATTTCATTACTTATTTTATTTATTTATCAAAAAAATTTACTAAGCCCGCATACGGCGCCATCTCTTATAACCGATACAAAATTTATTTTGTATTTTGTATACCGCGCCATCTCTGATACCTGGAACGAAGCTCGGCATTGCAGATACAGTAGAACAATGCTGCTCAGGAACTGGAGCTATTTCGAACAGAACTATTCCACTATTCCGATCAGATAGAGTGCTGCAGAAAGAGTAGATCAGATAGAGTAGTGTAGATAGAGTAGAACAGATGGAGTAGTGCAGTGCATGCAGATAGAGTGAAACAGGGCTGCGCTAGAGATTTTTTTGTTTTCTTTACATTCTTTGAACATTCCTGTGCCTGAGTTTATTTATTTGGTGGTACACTTTACAAGAATAATGCCCACAAGCTGCCTAAAAAAGGATGATGTAAAATTTTAATTTTAGGTGACTTCTGATCCAGAGAGTAAACATTAATTCTCTTCAACCAAAGCCAAATTCACCATCGAAAAAAACTGAATTTAATTCAGCTAATAGATACGTTAACACAACATTTAATAGGTATATTTAATAATTCAGAGGCGGTACGAAGTTCGCCGGGTCAGCTAGTAATGAAATAAAATCTGTAACTCAGTTAATAATTAACTGATTCAATGTTTTCTCGGGAGCACCTAAAAAAGCACCTAATTCTGATACCAGAAAAAACGTATTTATTATTTATTTATTTTATTTTATATTCAGAAAAATATTACAATGGTTACATTATAATACCTATAGAGGTAATCAATTACCTATACATAGGACTGGAGAAACTTAAAATTAAAGTTAAAATCTATAAAAACCCACCATATGCATAATGCCCCAATATAGCAATCACAAGGATATGAGTACCTAACTCATTTATAGACACACTTACAGTGTGAAGGAAATACCTACATAATTGGCATTACTCCTCATACTTAATATAATATATCAAATATAAACATACATAATGGAACAAAAAATAAATAATAAAAAATATAAAATATAAAAAGAATCCATAATAATAGTAATAATAAAAAAATATTGAGCAAAATTATATAACTAATAAACAAAAAATAATAAACAATCCTAGTATTCTTTCGTTCTGAACAAACTGATTGAAGTCAACTGAACTGATTGAACCGTGTTCTTTCGATTTCGGATCATTTTTCCCACCATACCCACCAAATGATGCAATCAGTTTAATCTTAGCCCCAAGTGATCGCAGAATTTTTACGTTCACTTCTTTCAGATTATGTGTGAATCCAAATCAGCTGATATAGATTATTGTTTTTTGGATGCATTTTTTTTTGCATTTATGTCTTTATTTTCAATATTTTACATGTAAACTTAAACTACCTTAGCCTACTACAATCATAATCCTAAATTCTAATGTGCGCCAAAAGGGGCACGGCCGATGTTGTGGCCCGAACTTAGAGAGAAATATAATAGGGGTAGCAGTGGCGATCAATTCGGCATGACTCATTTCTGAGACACGCAATGGTGCTCCTTATAGGTCAATTCACTGTTTTGACTTTATGTCGTGTTTTAGGTTTATAGTGTCCAGTTGTCATTCCATAGTTGCCAAGACATTCATGAAGGGAAAATTGAAAAAACCCTTCTTCACGTTCCTTTGGTATATTCTGTATATTAAGCTTGCGCCAGTTCACGAGCAGAGCGTTTGTAATTAAATTAGGTGGGCCCGCCGTGGGCGGTACTCCGACGTACCAATGGTATTGCTGATCCTAGTAAACTATTCTAGTGAAAAGTTCCTAATTTAATTACATTCGCTCGTCGCTTCAAGGCGGCTCGAAATATATTGGCAACCTATGGTGTATGGGTCGGTGTTTAACGGGGTTGTGTGGGTCGAACTTGAGGGTAGCAAGGTTTGTGGTCAGGGTGGGTCCATATGCGGAACGGCTGAAGAATTTGATTGAGACTTCATTGAAGTATTCGAGGATGGTGTTTATACCAGCAAGTCGATGCACTTCAGCTGTTCGGGTGTCCATTGGCAAGGAAAGCGCGTTTTTTAGAATTTTATTTTGGAATACTTGGAGCTTTTTATTCTCGCTGTTGGATATGAAGCTCCAAGCCGGTGCTCCGTAGAGTAAAGTTGGACGTATTATGGTCTTGTAGATGCTGATTTTATTTTTAGGGCTCAGAAAAGAATTGGTCTTCATGATGGGGGACAGAAGACGCTCGGCGATCTGTGCCTTTCTGAGGGTATGTGCTACCTGGGGGTGGCCCCTGAGGGTCTTGTCAAGGACTATTCCCAGGTACTTGGCAGTGGTTTTGGGTTCAATTATGACGTTGTTAATCGTCAGAGGAGGGTTCATGATAATGTTTGTACGCTTCCTGGTAAGCGTAAGAAGTTCTGTTTTAGGGGTGTTGAGGGTGATTTTCCAGGTCTGAAGGTAGGGAGTTAAGAGGTTGATGTGTCGTTCCAGCGCCCTTCTCGCGTCTTCTGCTAGAATGGCACTGGTGTAGATTGCAGTATCGTCGGCATACATCATGACTTTAGTGTCATTGGTTTTGGGTATGTCGGCGGTATACAAGTTAAACAGGGTTGGGGAGAAACAGGGTTGGGGAGAGGACGGTGCCCTGGGGCACTCCGGCCCGAATCGGTTTGTTTGGGGATAGAGAGTTTTGGAATTTGATGTTGAAAGTTCTGTCGCTGAGGTAAGAGGCAATGAGAGAAATTAGGTGGAGGGGTAAGTTGTGTACAGTCAGAAGTTTGTAGAGAAGGCCCTTGTGCCATACTTTGTCAAAGGCCTTCTCTATGTCGAGTAGCAGTAGGAAGGTGCTTTCTCGGTTGTTGAATGCGAGTGAGGCATCTTGTGCCACCCTCGCTACTGCTAAAGTCGTGTTGTGCTGAGGGCGGAATCCGTATTGTTCGTTGGGGAGGCAGCTAAGGGAGTCTATTGATGCGGAGAGTCTTCGGGAGATGATTTTTTCAGCAATTTTACCTAGGGAATTTAACAAAGAAATTGGTCTGAAGGACTGAGGTTGTGATAAGTCTTTGCCGGGTTTCGGGAAGACTATTATGCTCGCCTGCTTCCAGGGTTGCGGGAAGTGTTGGAGTGTCATGACTGCATTGATGATTTGCAGGAGATGCATAATAGCCTTTCGGGGGAGGTTCTTGATCAGTTGGTTTGTGATAGTGTCAGGTCCGGGTGCTTTTCTGTTTTTAAGTCTTCTCAGTTCGTCAGCGAGCTCGGTAGGCGTGGCCAGCAACCGCTGGTGAACTCCTGGGGGGATAGGGTATTTGCGCACGACAAAGGCGTCGGCTGTGTTGTTGATGTCTGTGTGAGCTCTTGTTGCGTCGGGTGTTTCGCTGTACACCCTAGCGAAGTGGTCAGCGAATATGTTCGCTTTGTCCTGTTCCCTGTAGAAGCTGACGCCATCGACTACCAGGTCTGACTGTGTCGTGCCTGATTTTCGAAGATTTTTGGCCAGCTTCCACAGGGAGTTGTCTTGGGTCTCCAGGGAGGAGATATACCTCATCCAGGTTGTGTTCCTGTGATGACGTATTCCCCTCTCTATCTCCCAGCTGAGTAAGTTGAGTAATTGTTTGTCCAGTATGTTTGGGTGCCTTTGCCATGCACGCTTGACCCTATTCCTCTCCTTTATGAGTGCAACAACGGAGTCTGGTATTCTGTCCGTTCTTGGCTTGGGGATGATTTTTGGAGCTAGCTGATCTCTGATTTGCGTAATGTTGTGCGTAATTAGCGCTACTTGCCGCTCAAGTTCGGGTATGGTGGTTATGGGGTTGGGGATTGTTGTGGTGTTGTTCAGAAGTTGTTTGTAGAGTGTCCAGTTGAAGTTTTTGTAGCTGTGTATTTTTTGCGGTTCCTGCACTGGAGGGTTTTTCCAGTACAGGAAGAGCGGTATGTGGTCCGAGTTTAGAATGCTTTTAGTCTTAATAGTCAAGTCTCTGAAGCCCCTCGAGAGAGCGATATCTATCCTGGAGGGGTTCAGTCCATTAAGCGGATAGTGCGTAGGGTTATTTGGGTAGTGTAGTGATATGTCCGGGTTGTCGCTTAGAAACTTGAAAAGTATTCTACCTGTCCTGTTGTTCGTGTGGTTAAGCCATGTTGTGTGCCTGGCATTAAGGTCCCCAAGAAGTAGTGCTCTCCCATTTCTGGGAAAGAAGACCTTAATGTCGTGGGCGGTTCTTATCGCTTCTGAGGGGGCGTAGCCCCCCGAGATCCACAAACCGTTATCTATCTCCAGTGTTATGTGTTCTATACTGGTGTTTAGGGTTGTGATTCGTTTATAGCTAACTGATTTGTGGATCAGGCAGGCCACGCCTCCGCCTCTGCGATTTCTGTCCATTCGTTCCGTGTTATACTGTTTGTGCTTAAGGCTGTTCGCTGGTAGTAGTTTTGTCTTGTTTAGAAAAATTAGTTTGGGACCGTAATGATTCACGGCCTGGTAAAGGTCTCCCCTCTTTGAGTTGAGACCATTACAGTTCCAACTAAGTATGAGCCACATTTAAAAGTCAAAACTGTGAATTTCAGTGGTGAAAAATTGCATGGTGACTTGCAATATTTGCGATTTGTCACCATTGCACTGTTTAAGGAGCGTTATGTAGTGGTTAAGAGCTTTTAGCAGCTCTGAGATGTTCACAAGTGAGTTTAGCTCACTCATTGTTGTCGCCAGTTTGAGAAAGTCGGATTGATTGCCACTTACCGCTCCTATTATATTTGAGTTCATGTTGGTCGTATTTTGTGGGGTTGCTGCAGTTTGAGGTCTTGACAATCTAGGTGGGAAGTCCTCATTGTACCTCTCGGGTCTGGGGGGCCGAGGTACCAGGCTTGTGGGCGGGGCTTGCGGGAAGTTTCTGCTTGTTTGCCAGGCTGGGGTTTTGGGGGGCGGGGCCGGGACTAGTCTCCGTCTCGGTTCCAGCTGACGTATTTTATACTATACAGGTATACTGGACATGTTTCATTGCTGCTCCTGTGGGCACCTCCGCAGTTCGCGCAGATGTCGATTGGGCTTTGGCACTCAGTAACTGGGTGCGGGCCTGAGCATTTGCTGCATCTGGTTGCCCGTTTGCAGTAGGTGGCTGCATGTCCCAGGCCCTGGCATCTGCGGCACTGCATTACGGGCCGTTCTGACCGACGATTTTCCCATGTGATACGGACGTTCAGGATGACTTTATAATGCTGGTTGAGCATTTTAAGAGTATAGCTCGCGTCTAATATGACGAGGTACATGGGCTCATATTTCGTCTTCATCCTGAAGATGTTTTTGGGGTTGATCGAGTATCTTGATCCAAGGTCGTCGGTCAGCTCGGCGATGCTAATGGCCGCGGAGGACAAAGGCATGTCCCTTCGTAGTTTTTTCGGCGTAAGTGTGGTGCTCAAGTTCTTCGGCCTCGAAGTTCCGGAGCAAGGTTTGCCAGTCCTCGCAGTAGATTATCGTTGAGTTTTTTGCGTACCTGACATTAAATTGTGTGATGTTTAGTTTTTGAAGGACATCGTTCAGGTCTTTGTGACTTTTGAACTTCCCCTTTACAACAATTGGGGGAGGTTTAGTAGGTTTGGCAGGCGTTGTTTTGCCCTTGCTCCGGTTGGGGACATTAGGGCGGGTGGAGGTGCTCGGAGGGTTCCTGGATGAGGCGGCACTGGCCTCGGAAATGTTGCTCGCCACTTCATTGAACTCATTGTCCGATGGTAGCCCATCGAACATATTGCGGGTAGGTATTGGCGCTCCAAAGTTCAGTTGCCTTCTTACAACCATATTTTTAAAACCCATTGTCTTCAAAGGAATTTTAAATCCGTCGTCGGTAGCTGCCGGTATTGTTGTTGTTAGAATGTTTGCGTTTTTTGCTGCTGCCGAATTTGGTTCCGGTTGCTGTTGTGCGTTTTTTTGCGCTTCGGTGTTCGCTTTGATGGGTGTCCTTGAAGATTTTTGCTTTTTGGTTGTATTTTGCGAGTTTTTGTGGGCGGTTTCTAGGTGAGAAATGGCGTTATTTATCGTCGTGATGCTGTATGGTTTCGGGTTTGTGTTTGATGTCATCTCCCGGAGTTCCTTGTATAGTGCCTGGCACTCGTTGCACTTGCTAAGCGAAACACCTCGCTTAGGTTTTAGGAGTTTAATTTTCTCTTTGAGAGAGAAAATTGTCGAACTTTCGTTCGCCAGCGAGGCCACGGAGGCGTTTTCGTCATCCTCTTCGGACATGCTCCTCTTGGCTAAGGGTTTAGTTTTAGGCGGCGGCGAGCGTACGGTGCCGATGATAAGTTTTTGATTGAATTTAAATAAATAAAGCGGTGCGATATCCCAGACGCATGAGCTGGTCTCTGTTCAACGGTTGAACAGAGAGTTGAATATAGATTATTGTTTTTTCGATGCGACAGAACTGAGCAAAGTGATGTGAATATAAAAATCACTTTCAGTTAAATCAGATTAGTTCAGTTCGATTAGATCGAAAGAATACCCCTAATGATACCTATGTATGTGGTTGATACTAATGATAATGTTCTGGGGCATTCCAAGAACGAAATTTCCTTGTGAGAGATGAACTTGTGGAAAATGTGATTATTAGCAAAAACTACATACTTAGTGCATTGCAAGATATCCATTTTTTCAACTTTTGTTTTACAGCTGCTCTAGTGTGCTGTAAAGTTTTGTATTCGTTGGGTAGGTTATTCAAAGTTTTAATGGCGGTTATATAGCTGCTCTTTGTAAATAACGTTCGATTAATTTTTGGTGAAATAATATTTTTATTTCTGGTGATGCTATTTGCCTGCATAAAGTTGCTCTTTAATTCCTCATAGAAATAGACAAGAGATTCGAGAACAAAAGACTGATGCAAATTCAATGGAACAGACAGATATATACTCAGATTTATAGCACCCCCGAGGACAATTTTCAACAATCTCCCTTGAAGCGCCTTCAACATACATTTAACATGGCCATAAGCACCCCCCAGACTATAATACCATAATTACAAACACTATGGAAAAGGGCATAATAAATTGACAGCAGCGTTTTTGGATGCATTATTTTAGCCAGTTCTTCAAAAACAAATAATAAATATTTGGTTTTATTGACAACTCTTTCAATGTGAACATCCCACCTAACCTTATAATCAATATGAACACCCAAGTACTTACAACTATCTACTCTCTTTATTTGTTTATCATTTATCTTTATGTCCAAAAAATTAGGGACACTGTCGCAAAATATGCACCAAAAGCTATATAAACTGTTTTTTGGACATTGAGAGATAACTGATTTAAAGCCAGCCAAGTGCTAACATAGTTAAGTGAGTTGTTAATTTTTTTCTGGGCCTTGTTCCATGAATCATCACTATATAACTGTTTCTTATTTTCATAACTTTTTTACAACAAAAAATTTGAGAAAAAAAAAACTTTACTTTAAAAAATCCCTCCCAATAGAGAAATTTTTGATTTGCTTTTTGTATAGGTATATTTTCAGTAATTCACAGTAACATGTTTTGCTAGCTACCGACATTGTAGCAAATTTGTGATAGAGCTACAGTGTAGTAAATTGCAGAAATTATTGCCTGTATAGAGACTAAGTATTATTTATGTTCCATTTTTTAGGACTTTTCCAAACAGTTCTCTAACAGGCAGGAGCGTGGTAGGAAGCAGCTCTGTAAGAGGCCGAAGTGTAGAAGGAAGCGGCTCTGAAGGACGCAGGAGTGAAGATGGAAGCAGCTCTGTAAGAGGCAGGAGTGTAGAAGCAAGCAGCCCTGTAAAAGGCAGTAAACATGAACGAGAAGGCTATTCTAAAAAGGATGACAAACTGCCAGACTCACTTCCTCCTCCCAACTTTAAACGGTACTTTAAAAATCCCTCCCAATAGAGAAATTTTTGATTTGCTTTTTGTATAGGTATATTTTCAGTATTTCACAGTAAGATGTTTTGCTAGCTACCGACATTGTAGCGAATTTGTGATAGTGCTACAGTGTAGTGAATTGCAGAAATTAATGCATGTATAAAGTCTAAGTATTATTTATGTTCCAATTTTAAGGACTTTTCCAAACAGTTCTGTAAGAGGCAGGAGCGTGGAAGGAAGCAGCTCTGTAAGAGGCCGAAGTGTTGAAGGAAGCGGCTCCGAAGTACGCAGAAGTGAAGACGGAAGCAGCTCTGTAAGAGGCAGGAGTGTAGAAGCAAGCAGCCCTGTAAAAGGCAGTAGACATGAAAGAGAAGGCTATTCTAGAAAGGATGACAAACTGCCAGACTCACTTCCTCCTCGCAGCTTTAAATGGTAATAATATCTTATTATTTAAAGTTGGTTTGTTTCAACCTTCCAAAAATCTTTTTAAGAAGGATTATAAATTACGCTGTTGTGCAGGGTCTGTTCCTTGCTCTGTTTCTTATAATTAGTGGGGCTTCTACAACTTAAACAAAAAAACTCAAGAAAAATATTTAAAAAGTTAAATACATACAAAAGTTGTAGGGTTTTATCTCTGTGAGCTTTTGCACATGTCAAAACGGGCAAATGAAATGTGCCAGCTGTTATTAAGACAAACACTTGCATTTTTTTAAATTGAACACCTTGTATATATTCGGATAGAATGATAGATTTTTTTCTTCTGATTCCAAATATACCATATATGTTAATATTCGGTTCAGATGTTTTGTACTATTAAGTCCAAAAATGCATTCACACTACCCTATAGGTCTGTTCTTGGTTCCTTATATCAATGGTGAGGCGTACTTAATGCAATTTTGAACTTGAATAGAGCAAAAACAGCTGAACCAAATATCAACATGTATCGGGAATATCTCTTAGAGAAAAAATATTATCAGGAAGTCAAATACGTATCGGGGGATTGGAGGGGGAACCAAACTGAGGCACTCTTTGAGTCACCCCGCCTCGCCCCTCAGGGGGTAGCTACCCTAACTTATTTTTTTCAAATACGAACCTACCTTGTGTTGCACATTGTTACGATACCTCGTTGCTATCCCTTCACAGTCATCTAGCAAAATCTTAAATAGGACAATTAGTTTTTGAGACATCGGTGAACATTTCACATTTCTGACATTCAATTTTTGTTTCTGACCATGGATTCTAAAAATTCAGCCAAAACTGTAGGTACAACTTTTGTATTTACATCTTTCTTCTACCTGTAAAGGTAAAGGCTGTAGGCCATATAACGGGTCTTCAAAAAAAAAATCAATCAAAGATTGCTATGGTTTTTCAAACATATGTCTTGGCAATATTTTTCTTCAATTTTGTGAATAAACTTTAATGTCAAAATGTCTTGTCAAAAATCCTGACCAATAAAGAAACAATAATGCGACGTACGTTCTCGTAATTAAAGCAATCTTTAATTGTTCAAAAAATCACTTGATTTAAATCACGATTTAAATTATGCCAACTCTGTGGTATAGTATTTTTAATCCGAATTGAAGCACTAAAAAAACATCTAGTCGACATACATCAAAGAAATAAAGGACATGGGCGTCACATAATTTCAATTTCTTTGAATGGTGATAATCAATATCAAACAACACAATTAAAATATTAATACGTGGAATAAAACAGCAAATAATATATAAATTGGGATGACACTGCTTATAGAAATCGCGTAGTCTGGTCGGTGTGCACAGCTGCATATATTTTGTACAGGGAACGGTATATAAACTTATTACAATATATTTTCTATGAAATTAATAGAAGAGAGTGACGTGATGTTGAAATATCCTCTTATAATGCAGTGTTTCAAATCAGAATAAAAATACTTTACCACCCTGTTCATCCAACAACCTCAGAATATGCTTGATCATCAATCAGCAGTTACGTAGTTAAGTTGTGCCCTGTGTGACATACATAAATCTTCTGTTTCTCATCCATAATTTCTGATGAAATGACAAAAATTGGAATAAAATTAACATCAATTACAGTATATAAAAACTAATAATTATGTTTAAATTTTTTAGGACCTACAAACCAGGGGGAAGAAAAATCCCAATTTCTCCCTCAAATTTACAGGATTTACCGCTGTTACATGGTGGCAATAAAGAGGAAAACATTGAAATTACCACTCCGAGCAGGCATGTCGAAGAGAGCAAAAGGTAATGTTATCCTATGTATTTTAAATTAATTATAGTAGCTCTGTTTCAACCTCTCCAACCATTTAGTCGAGGGGTGTGACTTGGTATTTGTAAGGATTAGCTGGTGATAGAAGGTATTAGTTGGTGGTATTGGTATTTTCAAGTATTAGTACTGGAACCAGAAATCGGAAGTAGAAGTCACCAAAGTAAAAAGCATTCTAAATAGCATCAACAATAGTGTGACACTGCCGACAGACTCCATCAAAACTTTCAGGCTAGGAAGAGCAGAAGCAAATAGGGTAAGGCCGGTAATGGTAATTTTTTTCTAGCAGACCAGAGGCATTGAACCTCTTAAAACAAAAAACTCACTCGACTCTTCTAAAGGGATCTATATAAAAGCTGATTTAACATCAATGCAAAGAAACTCCCTAAAAGAAACTGTCGAAGTGCTAAAAAAACGAACAGAACAAGGTGAGGAAAACTCAAAGATAAAATATTTTAACTCTACACCAAAAATTATTGTCACCATGTATCAAAAAACTAAAAATATCAAACACCATTGAAGTCGTCCCATGGTATAGTGATTGATAAACAAAATTGGGGAATGGACAGCATCAATTCAAAAGTACCAACCTACATTTATATTCGTAAGGGACACGTGGCTCAATAATCGATTAGACGAAAGCTTAATTAGTGTAGCCGGATACACCCTATTCAGAAAAGACAGAGGACTAGCAGGGAGGTGGGTATGTACATTAAAGAGGAAATCAGGGGCCACAAAGTACATTTCCTGTTGAATCTTTGTGGATTGATGTAACAATTGACAACCTAGATCTGTTTACATGTTGCATTTATAGAACAGATTACTCCACAGAGGAAACTGATATAGAAATGATTTCAGCCAAAACAGAAGCGTATTCTCTGGAAATTCCGGTATTTTTGGTAGAAAATTCCAATTATCCCCAAATAAATTTGAAAAATTTGAGTTTATATAAATCAGACAAATCAAATCAACTTTTCTTAGAAAATTACCACTTAATGAATGCTTGTCAGGTTGTAAACTGTCCAACTCGTTTCAGAAACGATCAAAAATCGTTGCTTGACCTCATTTTGCTCAATTACAAAAGCTAGTATTTGATATAAACCATCATGCACCAATAGGCCACAGTGACCACATTGTGATCACGGCTAAATCAGAGATAGCCCAACCGACAAAAAGTCAACAAAATCTCTTTTTCAAAGCAGACTACAATGAAATTAACTTGTTTTAAAGCCAAAAAGATTCTTATACCACACATCCATCAGAAAACAAATATGTGATATTCACTAACATACTACAGCAGGTATAACCAAATATGTCCCATTAAAAACATCCAAAATCAATCGAAAAAAGCCTGGTTAAACAATTATCTATTCAATGAAACTGACAAAAAAAAGGAGATTATGAGGCATTCACAGAAATCATTCAATGGAAAAAAGAATTGCATTATCAAACGGCAACAAACAATTTTTCAAATACGTAAAACGCACTCTTAATACAACAGTCTCCAAAATTACTTTGAAAGATCCGGACACAGGAACTCCAATTACAAATGATTACGCGATAGCAGAAAAATGTGCACAAAAATTTACCAGAATTTCTGTGGCCATTAATTGCTTAAAGAAAGACGCCGGCCCCGGTCGCATGTCCTTATCGGACGTATGGTATCGCAAGTCGCCAGCTACCGAATTGAGCCGATTGGAGAAGCTCAAAGGACGCACTCTCCTGACCTGTTTAGTTAATTCAAATGTTAGCTTAGGTGATGATAAGTTTTCAAAATTGAATTATTGTTATTCTCATTTTTTCTGTTGCCTCAATCAAATTGTTCAGTTTCCAAATCCTTTCCTCTATGCCACGAGGATGCTCAATACATTTCCACCACTTATCAGTATCTATTTCTTGAAATCGTGAAACAATTTTTCAACATCTTATATTTCAGAACTTATATTTCTTCTTGTAACATATCCCTTGACTTGTGCCCAAATTAAATCGATAGGTTCAGTTCGCAAGGGTGAGGGGTAACCTTATAACAATTATTGCCCGTTTGTTGGCCATTTCGTCTAAGATACAATTGGAATATCTGGCCAGTATGGCTTTGCTATTGCAAGAAATTCTTTCTTTATCATGCTTTGTTCGAAGGGATTTTAGTTGAGAAGTTTGCCTTTTTTCTTCACGGAACCTTTCAATTTTTCCTAAGTAGTCTCTCCTCCAGAAGACTACCTACTTCGTCGTTCTCAATCAATATACAATTTCTTCAGTTTCTTCCAAAATTAAGACCCAACTCTTTTAAAGTATTCCAGAGCTTGCTCGTACTTATATTTGGTATGTCGTCATCTCTTTTACAAAATAAAATGAATGCACTTTTCTTCGAAAGGTTCATTTTTCTTCTGCCGGATGGTCTTTAGGTTTTCCTGTGAAAATGTATTGAAACCACACCTACCAAAAGTATTTAATTCAATTAAAATTTTGAAAAAATATTCTAATACTGGGCACTCTCGATACAAAGTGATAGGTTTTATCCTTTATAACATTCCGGATAATTTCTGATAAATTATTTAAGCATATAGCCCACTAGTAAACTTGAATTTTCTCGAGTAACCGCCGGTCACACAAATTTAAAAAATTAAAATTGCACTACTTACAATGAATAGATCGAAGTCAATTTTTCAAAATAACTAAAAAGACTTGAGTTAAATCAGTGTCGAATTCTCTTGCCCTAATAATGAAGTAATATTGAAGCGCAAAGTATATCGGACGACTAACCAAACCTCTAGCAGACGCAATGAATGAGATAATGGAGAGTGGAAGACTGCCAGACATATGGACACATGCTATTGTTACCCCACTTTACAAAAAGGGCGATAAACAATTTTCCTCCTAACCTAACTATAGACTAATAAGTTTAACTTCCAATATTTGCAAATGTTTTGAGAAGGTAATTACAAAAAAATTAACACTATTCCTTCTTGAAAATGGGGCCATAACAGATCATTAACATGGATTCCTTCCAAAAAAGTCGACCATTACTAACCTCACAACTTGTTTGAACACCTGGACACAAAGCTTTGATACGAATGAACAAATCGACATCGTCTACTTGGATTTCGAGAAAGCATTCGACAAAGTGCCATTCAATAAAATTCTTCATAAGATAGACCACTATGGTATTGATAATGTCTCTCTTTCTTTTTGAAAAATAGTATATTGTAGACCTAGGCGGTAAAGTGACTTTTTTCCAGACTGAAAGAAGAAATGTACAGACACTTCTTGAAGATATGATAGACCACTATGGTATTGGTGGTAATCTATTTGATAATGTCTCTCCTTTTTGAAAAATAGAATATTGTAGACCTAGGCGGTAAAGAAGAAATGTACGGGCGAGCCTCAGCGAGCCCGGACACTTCTTGAAGCCTGGAAAAATCACTTTACCAGCATGGTTTACACTTTGTTTTTCTTCCAACACCACATAATTGTAGCTAATAGCATGTTTTTTCATGACCCTTGTTTTTTATTGGATTTGATTTGAGTGATTTACATCAAATTCAAGTTCAAACTTTTATAACGCCCTCGTTTTGTGACAAATATTGCATAGCCGTCACAGTTGACAGACATCAACTTTTTGCAGAAATCTGTATTAGATGGTAATTTTACAGTAAAAATTTAGTTTATGACTAACTTCTGATACTAGGATTTTATTAGGTAGGTAGATAAAAAATAAAACGAACACAGCTTTTTCTGAATTGAAATTTAATCAAAATCGCAAAAATATATACTATTTTTTTAAATATTATGTGGCGCCCTGAATTAGAAGAAGTAAAAAAATTTCTTGGCTAGCCATTTTTCAATGTTAATTTTCCAGGGCGAGCTTCAGAAACGCCTTCTTTCTTGTCCCTATGAAGGTAGTGAAATTCAATTTTCTCATAGTGTTGGAAGAAAAAGAACTTTTAAAACAAGAATAAATGGAGTACTCTCTGATAGAGATGTGAGTGTGAAACCTGAAAAGTTTCAATAAAATTTCATTTCATTGAAAAGTTTCAAGACAGTTCAAAACTTTTCAAAATTTCGTGAAAAGTTTAAAGATCATGAATCATGCATTGTGACTTTGTCCCAGGTTTGTTAAAACGAAAACGCATATCATGGTCGTGGGCAAAAAAATAATTAACTAGTGACGAAAACAGCATTCTTTGCAACGAGAAAACAGTTGTTTTCAAGTTGCAAAAAATGATTTTTGACAAGTAAAATACTATACCTCGCACTATACTTTTTCTAAGACCATGTTTTGATTTTTGCTGTTAAACTTATGTTTTTTTTACAAGGGTTCCTACTTGGTTTGATAGCTAGCGCCATCTATGAAAAGTGCTCGTTGTTAATTAATTTTATACTTATATTTTGCTTTTATTACATTATATAAAGCAAAATTGTAATATACTATAAATAAAACACAGTCATTTGAGTGATGGTCTATTTATTACTGAAAATATTCAATTCTCCGTACCCATAGGAATGGTACTCTAGTCTAGTCACAAAAAACCCATTGTTAATCTAACCATACACTAATAGTGAGCTAGCGCATACACGACTATTTAGAGACGTTATGCACATATATCACAAAAATTTACATAATTTTGTTATGAACTATGTTTTTTCATTGTCCTCCACAGAATTGAAATATAATCGGATTTGAAAAAATGTATTTAACATGTAAAATTTCAATCATTCACTTGCGTCACTAGTGAGGAAAGTTAACGTTATGGGATATTTCATCACTAGTGACGAAAATGACGTTTTCGGCTAAGGTAAAATATGACAAAAGTTGTTTATTTTTTGATGGTCATAGAAAAACAGATTTTTTCACTACATATTACGCAATTTTTTTTTATTTCCTCAATCCTCAACCGCAATATTGTGATTTAATGGAAAGGAATAATTGATAAAAATTATATTATTCATCAATTCAATTTATTGAATACCTATCATTTCGAAAAAATAATTTTAGAGGCCCTATTCCTGTACTTAACTTTTCAAAAAAAAATTGAAAAGTATCAACTTTTCATGAAAAGTTTCACGAAAAGTTTCAAATTTGAAAATTTCATGAAAACTTTCATCTCTACTCTCTGACGTACGTGTGGCTCTCAGCAGGATTGCCCAAGGTACAGTGCTTGGTCCTCTGCTCTTTTCTGTGTAGGTTCGTTCCAACCCAGCCAAAAACCGTACAATGTACGGTCACGGTCATGCGCCATAGGTTAAACGCGTTCCAACCGAGAGATGATCGTTTACCGTACAGTTTCGTTGGCGTTCCAACCAAACCTGGGATCGTTCGAGAACTGGTTTTAGCACCGTCATTTCGATCCCGAATGGAAAGCAAGAACCGCGTGGACTGATTCATGACTGACATGCGTAATTCAATTTTTGTCACCTGTTTTTGTTGTTCATGTTGTTGTTAAACAACCAATTTCCAATCTAACTTATAAAACTGTAGCATTTTTATTTTTTCAAGTGAAAAAAAGTACAAAATTTATTATCAGCTATTTGCTAATCCTTGATGTTATCAGCTTGCAAGAATTCAGTTTTAGATTCTTGATAATGAATCAGCGTTGGTGTTCGATTTTCCTTTTTTATATATTATTTTGTAATCCTAATCCTACATTCTTCTATTTTAATTTGCAAACAAACAAATTTAGGGTTAAAGTCTCAGTTAAAGTTATTTGAACTGTCGTCATTACGAAAACGATCATGAAACCGTTCCAACTACCCGTTGTTTCTGTACCAAGATAAAACCGTGCAAGGTCAACGCATGCGCCTGCAATCGATCCTAACAGTTCCGAAACCGTTTCATGACGATACGAAAACGGGGGGTTGGAACGAACCTTATCAGCGACTTGGCAATGGAAACCAAAACATGTATAATATTTTTTGCCCATGACGCTAAGCTGTTTGCAAACTCCAGAACTAAGTCTAAGCAAGAAGATTTTCATCGAATAGAGCAATGGGCAAAAACCTGGAACATGAAACTAAACGAAGAGAGATGCACAGTGCTCAGTATTGGAATAAACAATGCTATTACACCCTATCCACTAAAGGCCAAATGGTACCAATCTGAATAATGTCGATCAACAGAGTAATTTAGGCGTTTTCATCAGAGCAGACCCCGAATGGGAACCACATATTCATAGGATAGTAAAAAAAGCAAACTTGTTCATTTATTGTATCCAAAACGCATTTTGAGTCCACTCAATGGACACCATATTGAAACTATGTAAAACTTATATTAGACCACAATTTGAATATGGCGAAAGAATATGGAACCCTTACTTTGTGAAGGACATCGAGCTTTTAGAGAAAGTTCGATATCTTTTAACAAAAATACGACCAGAATTAACACAGTTAGACTATACTACAAGACTACAGAGACTTAAGTTGACTACTCTAAGAAAAAGGCGCTTAAGAGGAAATCTTATCGAGACCTACAAAATTTTAAAACCATATAACGCTACTCTTAATATTTTCCATGCTAATGCAAACATACACCTTCGAGGACACAGCAAAAAACTGGAAAATGAGAAGAACGCAAAACTACCCCGTGTAACTAACTAGTGTGAACATTTATTTCAGATTGTAAAAAAACAAGCTGAATATTTTGAAAAGCCAAAAACTCGGCCATAAAAGAACCACGGAAATTAAAACAACAGTTTCATCGGTCATGACCGCTTACTGTTGTATTTAATGATAATAATAGTATTATTTGCATGTATTGCTTGATGTTATTTGTTATTAGTTGGTATTATCAGTATTAGTAGGTACCTCGATTAGTACAAAATGTAGCGAAAAAATTAATGGAAACTCAACAAACACCCATCAATTTCGAATAAGTTATTTATGACTATAGTAGCAGAAACAAGTTTGCGAAATGTCGCGTTATAAAAACAGCAAATTCAAACAAAAAATCATGTGAATGAAAACGCCCTCTCATTCGGTAAAGCCGATATTTATGCGCTTTGTTGCGAAATTTCCATTCAATCGACTAATAAGAAATTCGGCATCCTCGCAATTTTATTAATTTTAGGGATTCTGACGTCATAGTCCTTGTCCGCGTTTTCGCACCAGTTTAAAAATTCGAATTTCGAATTATTTTATTTTCAAAAATGAGTGTTTTTTTTTTTTTGGAAAGTATGCAGATGTTATTAGAATGCCTAACACAATAATAATTTAAATACGTTTTTTTGAAAAATGTAAAAATGGCCATTTTTGGTCGACTCATTTTTGCTTTTACATCAGGATATAAGTGAAGTGTCACACCCCTCGCGTTTAGTTAATTCTCCTTTCAATATATGAATGTAGGGTTTTTGATGAGATTGAAGTAGGTCCAATATATTTGGTGTGTTATCAAAATCTAGTTTCTGCTTGCTGAAAACTTGAGCTAGCTAAAATTTTATATACCTGATTGGCTTTTTTTCATTCCAAAGTGAGATATTTCATGGTTGTTTGAAGATTTGAAATGCCTTACTCTCAAGTCAGTCTTTTCACAACGAAAATGGAATATAATCTAATTGCCTTAATCAAGTGAAATTACTTGATGAAAAAAAAAACCTGCATAAAACCAGTTTATTTTAAGACCATAGGAATCTACTAACGTTGTTCCTTGACTTAAAGAAAAATGTTTTTGTGTTCTTGATTCTTTTAAACAAAAAGGTAGTAGTTTCAATTTTATTGCCCACAAATTAGATCATTGAAAAATTCAAATTAGCTATTATATAAGCTTTTTATATACTGACTACACTTTTCATTATTATGACGCTACAGTTCTTATACCAGGTGTCCCACTAAGGTCGGCCAGGTACGATATTATGGAAACCATAGACCTTACGGCTTCGGGATTTTTTCACTAAATCGGCCAAGAGAAATTGATGGAAATTATTTTCAAGTTTCTAGGATGACCGCTAGGGGGCGCAATTACGATGATATAGCTAAAAATTCAACTTTTCTCAAGAAATCGCTATATTAAGATACTCTTTTAACAACAGAAATCAAAAGTTCATTAATCTTTGCGCCAGTTTGGTTATTAGGCTTTTTTTCGTATCTTCAGTAATAAGGGTGGGGGAAGCTGGTGAAAATTTTTTTTTAGAAATTGCTGTATCTTCCATACCCCTCATTCAAACTCATTCAATTTGGGTTTATTTGGAAGAGAATTTCATTGTTATCAAGAACACCACTTCGTTCGAGGTCGATAGTTCCCACCGCGTCTTCTAGAGGGCGCTGTTTATTCAAGATACAGTTTTTTCTAATTTTCATGAAAAATCCAAATGGCATAATATTATTTTTGTATTGCTGTGCTTAAAGAGCAAAAAAATATCTACATTTTGGCGCAAACCGCAATTCAATATCTGCATTCGTTTTCAAGTTACGTAAGGTCTATGGTCTCCATAATATCGTACCTGGCCGACCTTAGTGGGACACCCTGTATAAATTCTTTTTATCATTCAAATTTTCTGATAAAATAACAAAAAATTAGATTAGGAATATCTGCATGCGAATCGCAGAAATTAATGCATATATAAAAACTATTACCTATTTATGTTTAATTTTTTTTTATAATTTGTCAAAGCAGCTTTGAGGGAGGCAGGAGTTCAGAAGGAAACAGCTCTGTAAGAGGCAGGAGTGTAAGAGGAAGCAGCTCTGTAAGGGGTAGACGTGTAGAATTAAGCAGAGCTTTAATAACCAGTAAACGCGAACCACAAGACTATCCTAAATGGAATGACATACTTCGTTCTCCCATCAGCTTTAAATGGTAATGTTCTCCTATTAGTTAAACTTGGTTTATTTTACAAAAATATTTAGGAAGGATTATACATATAACGCTATTGTACAATGAATTCAGTTAGTGCTCTTCTCAAAAAAATATAACTATTTTTTTTGATAAGTTTGAAATAGGTTCATTTTAGATACATAAAATTCAAATTGTCTGCATGTCTAAAAACTATCATTTAATTATTATTTTTCAAAGCAGGTCTGCAAAAGAAGGCAGATATAAACCAGAGAGTAAACCTGAAGGAGAAGGAGACGGCAAATTACATGACCCACTTTCTCGCATGAAAGTCAAAAACATTACTGATATAGCTGACATTGGTCCAACAAAGGATGCTAAGGATGTAGATCAAAAAAGTACAAATCAGTGTGATAAACCTAGGTCAAAATGGTAATGTTATCTTTCATGTTTTATACTAGTTATACTAGGTTTGTTTCATCCTTTTGAAAACCATGATACATTACAATGTGGCACAATGTGCTTAGTACTCTTCCAATAACTATGGTTTTTGATAATATTGAAATTGACCTAATTTATTTTGGTACGCTGGTGAAATTCAAAAAGTCAGTTTCTGAAAATGCGTGCTTCATGAAATTATGTAAACTTCACTTTTTCCAATTATTTTATTCAAAGAAAAATATTTCATTATTGTTTAATTTTCTTCCTTGATCTAAAGACAAACAAAACTTTTTCTTCAAATAGTTATAAAAATGGCATAGAATTCTGAAAAAAATTGAAAGAAGGTGCATTTACTAGCCCTACCATAATTTCGCTATATACATGCCATGGTTTTCCTATGGCGCTAAAACAGTTTGGTAACTTTTTTGTTTGTTATTGTATGGTTTTTGGTTACCTTCTTCCAAACACCTTCGGAATTTTCCTCAAGATATTTATAAGATAATTTGTTGCTGATGCCCTGTTACATGACTCAAAAATTGTATTCAAAAAGCTTCCTCTTCAGTAATCTGGAAAAATTCCTGTTTGGAGTGAGATCGAAAATATGGTAGGATAGATTAAAGCTACAGTTTCAGAATTCAGTTAGTGCTCTTCCCAAAAAAAATATGACTATAGTTTTTGATAAGGTTGAAATAGGTCCATTTTATATACGTAAAATTCAAATTATCTGCATGTATGAAAACTATCAATTAATTATTATTTTTCAAAGCAGGTTTGCAAAAGAAGGCAGATATAAACCAGAGAGTAAATCTGAAGGAGAAGGAGACGGCAAATTACATGACTCAGTTTCTCCCATGAAAGTCAAAAACATTACTGATATAGCTGACATTGGTCCAACAAAGGATGCTAAGGATGTAGATCAAAAAAGTACAAATCCATGTGATAAACCTGGGTCAAAATGGTAATGTTATCTTTCCTGTTTTATACTAGTTATACTAGGTTTGTTTCAACCTTTTGAAAACCATGAACATTACACTGTTGCACAATGTGCTCAGTACTCTTCTCAATGACTATGGTTTTTAATAATGTTGAAATTGACCTAATTTATTTTGGTATGCTGGTGAAATTCAAAAAGTCGGTTTCTGAAAATGCGTGCTTGTTGAAATTATATAAACTTCACTTTCTCCAATTATTTTATTCAAAGAAAAATATTTCATTATTGTTTAATTTTCTTCCAAACGTTTCCTTCAAATAGTTATAAAAATGGCGTAGAATTCTAAAAAAAATTGAAAGAAGGTGCGTTAACTAGCCCTACCATAACTTCGCTGTATACATGGCATGGTTTTCCTATGGCACTAAAACAGTTTGGTAACCTTTTTGTTTATTATTGTGTGGTTCTTGGTTACCTTTTTCCAGTCAAACATCTTCGGAATTTTCCTCAAGATATTTATAAGATAATTTGTTGCTGATGCCCTGTTACATGACTCAAAAATTGTATTCAAAAAGCTTCCTCTCCAGTAATCTGGAAAAATTCCTGTTTGGAGTGAGATCGAAAATATGGTAGGAGAGATTAAAGCTACAGTTTCAGAATTCAGTTAGTGCTCTACCAAAAAAACATGACTATAGTTTTAGATTAAGTTGAAATAGGTCCATTTTATATACGTGAAATTCAAATTCTGCATGTATTAAAACTATCAATCAATAATTGTTTTTCAAAGCAGGTCTGCAAAAGAAGGCAGACATAAACCAGAGAGTAAACCTGAAGGAGGAGGAGACGGCAAATTACATGACTCAGTTTCTCGCATGAAAGTCAAAAACATTACTGATATAGCTGACATTGGTCCTACAAAGGATGCTAAGGATGTAGATCAAAAAAGTACAAATCAGTGTGATAAACCTTGGTCAAAATGGTAATGTTATCTTTCGTGTTTTATACTAGTTATACTAGGTTTGTTTCAACCTTTTGAAAACCAAGAATATTACACTGTTGCACAATGTGCTTAGTACTCGTCCCAATGACTATGGTTTTTAATAATGTTGAAATTGACCTAATTTATTTTGGTATGCTTGTTGAAATTATGTAAACTTCACTTTTTCCAATTATTTTATTCAAAGAAAAATATTTCATTATTGTTTAATTTTCTTCCTTGATCTAAAGACAAACAAAACGTTTCCTTCAAATAGTTATAAAAATGGCATAGAATTGTGAAAAAAGTTGAAAGAAGGTGCATTAACTAGCCCTACCATAACTTCGCTGTATACATACCATAGTTTTCCTATGGCGCTAAAACAGTTTGGTAACTTTTTTGTTTGTTATTGTGTGGTTTTTGGTTATCTTCTTCCAAAAACCTTTGGAATTTTCCTCAAGATATTTATAAGATAAATTGTTGCTGATGCCCTGTTACATGACTCAAAAATTGTATTCAAAAAGCTTCCTCTACAGTAATCTGGAAAAATTCCTGTTTGAAGTGAGATTGAAAATATGGTAGGAGAGATTAAAGCTACAGTTTTTCAGAAGTAATGTCTACTCCATCTGGTCCAGTACCTTTATTTATTTCTAGAGGTAAAGGTTTGGTATAGAATCAGAAATTGTGTTATGCAGATCAGGGATATGAATATTGGTTTGGTATGTTTCATTTGTGCATTATGTGACATGCATGTTTTCTTTTCGTCATCCAATATTTCTTATAAAATAACAAAAATTAGATCAAGATTAACAACCACTACATGCAAAAAAACTATTATTATTTGTTATTACATTTTTCAGGACCTACGTACCAGGGGGTAGAAAAATCTCATGGGCTCCCTTGAATCAATATTATTTACCGTTGTTATATGGTGACGATGAAAACGAAGAGATGCAAAAAATAACTCCGAGCGGACCTGTTGAAGCGAGCAAGCCTGAGGGAAAATGCTCTCTCGAAATAGATGACAAACCAAAAGAGGATGTGGATCAAAATAGTACAAATCATAGTGATGAATCCAGTCATGAAAGGTAATGGTATCTTATGTATTTTACATTGGTTATACTAGGTTTGCTTCAACCTTCTTAACGTCTTCGACAGGTTAAAACGAAATGAATTTTCAAATATATTATCTGAGAAGAATTTTTTTTTCAAACATATTGTATTTTTTAAAGAAACAATGTAACAGTTGAATATATTTTGTCGAACAAACAAAGGAAGGTAATTAGTTTATAGCATGCTTCCTGTGCTATATACCTAATGTTATATTTATGCCTTACTTGGGAAATTTAGCGCCTTGGTCACAGCATCGGAGGAACTGGTGGGGGAGGTGGATCTTCGTGGACTTGATAAAGAAAATATTCCACCAAAAAAAGATGACAGTTTTGACTATGATATTTATCCACCAATGGCTCCGGTTAAAAGTCTAGAGAAGCCATGTGTTCTTCAGACACCAAAATCATTAAAAATCCCAACAAGACCGGCAATGCCATCTCTTGAAACAAGACCTTATGTGACATCAACAGTTGAGTGGGAATGTTTAAGAGTAAGTGAAATTAGAATAGTAGGTATTGCGAAAAATAAGTTGAAAACTTTTTCAATCTGTTTTTGATTGAGGGATATACAGGGGTGGGCATAAGTCAGCTCGCAAATTTGCACAAATTGAAAAAAATCAAGTGCCATTTCACTGGAAAATAACAATCTAATCATGCAACAAAACCGGTATTGATCTGTATCGAGATCGACACACATACTAACTTATGCCCAGCTGGCCGCGGTGCTAGCTCTAACATATTTTTCTACGTGAAATCGGAGCGAGAGCAGTGGGACCGTTTTGAAGGCTGCCATTTGACTTATGCCCACCACTGTATTTTTTCTTGAAGAGAGTTATCCGCAAAAACATAAAATTAAAGATATAACCAATTTAGGCTATTGCAATTATTTACTGTTCATTAATGGCCTAGTTACTTCAATTAAATGTGATAAACTTGCATATGCAGACGATCCAAAACTTTTCCATTGAGTCAAGAATATTGATGACTGCATCTATCTGCAAAACAACTTGGATCTTTTGAACAATTGGTGTGTACAAAATGAACTTGGGTTAAATGTGTCTAAGTGTAATATAGTAAGTTATAATAGATTGAGAACACCCATTATTTTCAATAATTATTCTATCGATCAAGCTCTGTTGAACCGACTAATCCAAATCAATGACCTTGGTGTCATATTTGATCAGTAATTTACCTTTATTCCCCATGTGGAATATATAACTAATGCGGCACTACGAATGTTCGGTCTTATTATAAGAAACTTGCGCAACTTTGCAAATGAATCGACTCTTACACTTCTTTACTACTCTTTTGTTAGATCTAAGCTTGAGTACGCCTGCATTATTTGGAACCCAATTTATGCACGCCACACATATTTGGTGAAGTCGGTTCAGCGTAGGTTTTTCAAGTATTTAATGTCTAGGATGGATGGTGTTTATTCTGATAGGGGATTCGATAATGATCTGATACTTTCGCGCTTTGACTAGACTTCCTTATTTGTTCGGAGACAAGTGCACCTCGTAAAGTTTCTTTTCAAGCTACTTCATGACTGTCTATTCCTTTTATCTAGTGTCAATTTCCTGGTACCGCGTTTGCTGAGTAGAAATGCGCAGACCTTCTTTTTACCCAGACCTCGCACTAACATTCTATTTTCACAAGCTCCAGTTTATGCAGTGTGCCGCTACTTTAACTCGATCTGTGAGATGTGCGACATTCACGAGTCCCCTCTTTGTGCGATTGTCCGCAGTGTTATCGAAAAAAAAAATGCTTAGCTGTTCAGTTTCTATCTGCTTTAAGTTTAAATTTAACTGGGAAACTTGTACTCAACGGTTTTTTGCCCCTTTTTTTCTGTTTTTTTTTAGTTTTGTTATTTATTATTTGTTATTTTTTATTTCATTTTTTGGTTATTTTTGCTGCTTTAGATTATTTGAATTTCATGTAATTGGGGTAAACCTGTTTGAAATAAAGGCTTATTATTATTATTACATTATTGTGTTTACATACAAAAATAAAAGAGCGAAACCGTACTCTGGAAAATATAATCAAGAGGTATATATATCGCCTCTGTAGAGCAAAAAGGGGACAAGCGGCAATTGAACGTTTTTGAGATAACCGCCATAACATCTTTATCCCAACTCACGTTGTGTAAGAAGGTGTCAAGCGGCACGTACATAAACTCATGTAGATAGGAAAAGTACAAATAATTACAAATAAATTATAGTTTTCAAATTGCAGTTTTATTCGAGGTTTTCTTGGTTTTATTAACAATCTCGTATTTGGCACATGGCCTCTTCTTGCTCTACATGGGCGATATTTTTATTTCTTCGCATATTTTATTAGGCTTCGGTTGATGTTTTGAACAAAATAACACCTATGGTATTGGCTACAAATTCATAAATTGCATTTCAGTGGCCTTAATCCAACTTATATATTTATATTTTGTAGACCATTGTCCACAAGGGTTCAGATGGATTTGATAGAATAAGTGTTAATGACATGGAATATATTGTGTACCATAAACTCGGACACGGTGGAATGTCTGCGGTTTATTGTGGTTTCAATCAATGCATAAGATCGTTCGTTGCAATAAAGGTGGTTAGGAATTTCATGCCAAATGAATCTATGAATGAAGTCAAAATTTTGAAGTCGGTGCAAAACTGCGATAAAATTATAAAGATGTACGACTAGTAAGTTTAAAATTTGAAGGTATTATTCAATCTCTTGATCTTTTTTTTTTACCTTAGCGAAATTAAGGGTGATAAGTTAGTTATAGTGTTCGAAAAAGGTGGGCCGGACTTTGGCACTATATTGAAACAGCGACTATTGATACAAAAACGCTTGCCAAATTATATGATACTGTTTTATTGGCTAGAAATGCTGCACGCAGTCAAACAATTACATTCCCAAGGTACTGGTTCTGTTATACTTGAGGTTTAAAATAATCGCAAAACCCTTCACTTTTTTTAGGCATTATTCACACTGATTTGAAGCCTGCCAATTTTCTAAGAAACGGAACAGGCCTCAAGCTTATTGACTTTGGTATTGCAAGTCGGGTCGGCCGTGATACGACGTTTGCATATAAATCTTGCCAAGAAGGAACCTTCAAATACATAAGTCCGGAAGCTGTGATGAAAAGAAATAATGTAGATCCTAAACAGCAGTACAAGGTAATAATTTAACTTAACCATAAAAGTTTCAACTATTACTGTTTCAAAAGAATCTGTAAATGCGAGAGAGAAAGACGGATCTCTTAGAACTGGCAGGTAACACTGTACACCGTCTGTCGGTTTTAACAGTCAATGGTGTAGCGTTTAGATTGAAACGAAACCTTACATTAATGTCACTGCCATTTAAATGATTAGGTTCCTAATTATTTTTTTCACTTATTATTAATACTTACCTATATCATAATTTTGTACATTGTCAACGATGTTATGATGGCTTACAGGATTGAACACAAAATACGTATCAATTATAGCTATTAACCTTCTAAATACGCACATTGAAGTCAATAATTCTAGAGGGTTTAGATAATAAATTGAACAGATTAATTTGGTTCTAATAATTACTCTGTGTTGGTATGTGTGTATAATGCCTTGAATATTGATATCTAACTTTTTTCTTTTTGTTTAAGTCCATCGTTCCTAATAAGAACCCATTAAAAAGTTTTGTTTTGAATAGGCATAATTTGACAATTTTTCAGATTCATTTCAAATCAGACGTTTGGTCCCTGGGATGCATCCTGTACCAATTAGTTTATGGTCATACTCCTTTCAACCAAACCAATATAACGTCCAATTTGGTGTCAGCGATATCTGATCCAGATTATGAAATTGATTATCCAGAAGCAGAATGGGCCCCTAAGTCATTTGTACAGACAATGAAAAAATGCCTGCAATTCGATATCGCAGCAAGACCATCGGTGGACGAGTTGATTCAAGAATATGAAGAAAAGATTTTGAATGATTTTTAATTTGTCAAAAATCATTTTTGATACCTCGTCCAAAATGCAACAATAAAAGCCAAAAATACTATAAGTTAGAAGTGAGGATCGGTTTAAAGTAAAGATACAATCTAGGGGTTTACTGAAAAAATACAGTAGACTCGCGTTAATGTAAAACCAAAAAACTTTTCGTTTTCATTTCCGAGATTGTTCCCACTACTAAAATATAAAATATAATAATCTTATTTCCTATAGTGTACGTATTTGCTACGTAAAAACATAACAAAATGTATTTATTTAGAGCCGGTTTATTCACTTTCTGACAAACTTTCAGGCATGCAATCTGGCGGATAAAAACGTAATCGCTAATCCCATTGGTCGTTCAGTTTCAGCTATCCACCAACCAATAAAATTATAGAACGGTAAATTTATCTTGGAGATAGTTACCAGCAAGTTTATCTGCAGATGAATAAACTGGGTCTTAGAATATCAAGTTAGTTTAGTTACAGTCATAATAGCTTGCACAGCTTCTTTTTTTTATGTTCCTAATGGCTATATATGTAATTTCAACAAAATATCATGGGAATATTGTTCATATGAAAAAAACAGTACAGCGTCATTTTGACCTTGGCTATCATCATTAGCCTGTTGTATTTCAGGAATCATCCTCATTTTCATTATCGTCATGCAATGAGTTCTCAGATACTCCTCTATTTGTACTCATACTTTGTTTTCCATGAGGAATTATATCAGCAGCTTGATTATTGTCATACAATGAGTCGGTAGATTCAGATTCTTCAAGTCTAGTCATAGATTTTTCTACCTGCTCCATAACGCTTGTATCATTTTCACTAACAGAAGAATCTATAGTGAAGATACCTGTAATGAACTCACAGTGCGAGCTTTATTTAGAGAGCGATTAGGTGAACTCCTCCATGCAATTTTTTTTTGTCATTACATCTGATTTATCATTAATTTTCGCTGCTTGAACTAATCTTCTGCGTCTGACTAAGAAATTTCGTTGCTCTTCAAGTACCTTCTTAGACTCCTCGAAAAAACATCTTCGGTCTCCTACATCAGGATTAACAGATTCCTCTAGCTTTGATTGTCTTGTAGTTTTATTGGGGCTTTCGGATCGATTTAAACTTAGGCCCAGAGACATGCTCGATGGTTGATAATCAGTTTGTGGTTCTGGTGATGAATCCAGAAGTCCTCATGATCTTTATTCAACGGTAGATGCTTCAAAGGATGTGCTAATGGCGAAAAAGCCATCAAATATTGCTCTGAGTTATTGCCTAAATTAGGAGTTTGTGAAATCTAAATATTTTTTTTTGACTAGGAAAGTTCAGTCATGTAACTAGTTACTCTCTTCTTCAATATTTGGTTCATACTTGGAGATTTTGTTTGAATTACCCTCAAACTCATATTCAAATATCTATATGGGATTGTTGTGCCTCTCAATCTTGCGGGTGTCTTTGTTAAAGTATTCACTGATTTTCTAATGACAATTAATCCTGTTTTTTTTTTAACAAATAAATCTTTAGGCTTACATGTTCCAGAATTCTTTGTCAAAAAAAATTTAGGACTTCAGTTGATAAGATGGCAAAAATGTACTTCATGAAAAGAAAAAAAATCCTTTTTACAGAATTACTGCAAAAGCGCGAGTCTACTGATAAAGAGTGTATATATTGTTTTCCTATCCCCAATGTTAAAATGTTTTGTTTTTATTATTTACAGTATTATCTTATGTTCCTGTATTGATATAATATTTTGAAACTTGTTCATAAATTTGATTTGATTTGAACGTAGGTATCGCCAATTTTAGTCTTGCTTGAAAAAATTGAAGATTTCAGTTGAAGAGATGGCAAAAATTTACTTCATATAAAGAAAAAATCTGTTTTACAGAATGGGCTCTTTCACTAATTTTTGAAATTGGCATAATTGGATAAAGCAACTAAAAACAGAATTTTCTATATTTTTACTTTCGAAAAATTCATAGTCCTTCTTGAGAAAATAGAAAAAAAAGAAATACCTCTGAGTAAAAACCCAGAATTTATTTCCATGACGTCGCAGCTTGCATTTGACTGTGTTGCCACTAATTGAACCCTATGCTGGAACGTTGTAAACGACAATGTGTAACAACGGTATTTTCATGGAATAACGTTGTATTGTACCCTGGATAATTCGCCAACTTAATAGTGGGATAATATGATTTTTTTTTATGAAGTGTTGATGCCATTTCAATTGGCCCAGTATGTCCTTTTTGTGCAATAACGTTTTAATTGCAACCGCCCTAGTTTCGCGCTTGTTTGGTATATTTGGCGTTTGAAACGTTGTTCCAGCATAGGGTTTAATTATCAACATTAAAAATTTGTAATAGATTTAATTCTAAAATGTTGGCAAAGTACCATGGAAAGTAGTAGTTAAATTAATTAGTTATGGATTTAAGATTTTTTTTTTGAAATTATGCCTGAACACAATTTTAATCAATTTTTGATGTTTAGTTTCATTTATTTTTTTTACGTCGCACTACATTTAGTCGCAACCGAAAACAGCGCATTCGAACCTTCACGTGCTTTTACTACAAGGTTACACAGCCGAGCCTGCGAGCTGCTTGCAGCAACTTGGGCCAAATGAAAATTATTCAGATGACGTCATCACTTGGCACGTTTTAAATGAATTTGGCCAGTTTTAAGTGCCTGTAAAAAATTATTTCACATTGTAGATCATTTTTTTTTGGTATATATGTATGCCTAAAATAGTCCCTCCTTTAGGATTTTATACATACTTAAATTACTTATTTAAATTTTAGTGAAAGAGCCCATTACTGCTGCAAAAGCGCGAGTCTACTGATAAAGAGTGTATATATATTATGTTTCCCCATCCCCATTCAATAATATTGAATTGTTTTGTTTTTATTATTTAGAGTATTATCTTATGTTCCTGTATTGATATAATATTTTAAACTTGTTCATACATTTGATTTGATTTGAAAGTAGGTATCGCCAATTTTGGTCTTGCTTGAAAAAATTGAAGATATCATGAAAAGATGGCAAAAACGTACTTCATAAATAGAAAAAAATCTGTTATACAGAATTACTGCTGCAAAAGCCTGAGTCTACTGATAAAGAGTGTATATTATGTTTTCCTATCCCCGTTAAATAATGTTAAACAGTTTTGTTTTTATTATTTGGAGTATTATCTTATGTTCCTGTATTGATATAATATTTTAAACTTGTTCATATATTTGATTTGATTTCAAAGTAGGTACCTACCTATGTTATGTAGTTTTTTCAGTATTGAATATATATTATTTTCGTAAAAAGGGTTTCTCTCATTTATTTCAGTGCATTACTCAATGTTATACAAGTAAGTTATAGGTATATAGGTATATTGCAAGGCCCGTCGCTCGTAGAGCTACCCATAAAAGACGAAACTGAGTAGAGACACAAGTTATAAATTAGTTGGACACTCAATTCTCGTACACGAGGTGACGAGACGAGAATCGAAAATAAACGCGTTTGTTCAGCGTATGCAAAATGTCGAGCGATGAGAGTGAAGCAGTAATTTTATATAATTATCATTGAAGATACAGGCGCAGAATCAGGAGATTGTGGGTTCATCCATATACAGAGTGGGGCACGAAAAACTTCCCACCCAGGTCTTCTCAGGATAAGGTGATTAATTAAAAATCGCTCGCATACTTCAATTTTTGTTTTTTGAGGAACATATTTTGTTTGGTATTGGTTGTGGTATTTTCACTCTCACCTGTCAACCCCTAAGCGGGGAGTGACAGGTACCCCCAAAATTTGAAAAGGACAGGGGGGTCGAGTGATATGCTATTTTCATCAAGGTTATATTCCCAAAGTTTCAAGTTGCTCCTATTTGGAGCAAAGTTCTGTGGTTTTTAGCTCATAATAACAAAATAACATATTTTTCAAGTGAATAAACATGAACCATTTTCAAGTGAACTGTTGAATGGTAATACCTATGTTATTTTATTACTATGGATAGATACCCTTAAAAAATATTATGTTGTTTCGTTATTACGTGATAAAAACCACACAGCTCAGATACACCTGAGAAAACCTGGGTGGGAAGTTTTTCGTGCCCCACCCTATAAAAGGAAACATAAATTATTTTAGAATGTTTATAACAGCTAGAGAACAACAGAAAAATGATGATTATGCCACGTCACGCCATGTGTCCGCTCAACTTTGGAGTGAGCTCACACCGCTAGAGGGTTAAAGATAAATATGTAGGTCGCGGACTTTGTGTGGGGAATTTAACTATTCACTATCAGCCAGTATTTTTAATTTTTTTCGTACATCAAAGCTACTAGTATCAGAAGTGAAAAAGTGCGCCCCTTTCCAAATGTGATCGTCAATTTTTTTCTAACTTGCCCAAGATGTAATAAAACTACAACAGAATGCATCTAGGGCTCATTTTTCTTTATAGGTATTGCACATCTGGGTAGGTAGCTATATTATCCTGTATTATCAGACAGGTGATTTATTGTTCTAATTGAAAAAGACAATAAAATTTTGCATAGGTATTCTCTAAAATATTTCATTACTTAGTCGAATAGACTTAGTACGGCCCTGTTTATCGCTGGAAATTCCGTAAATAAATTGCAAGTTTAGTCTGTGGTTTAGTGTTTACGTTTGCATTTTGTAAACAAAATAATAAGAAGAATTTATTTGTCTGATCATGAATAACATATTGGGTCACTGTTTGTTTAACATCCATTCCTTAAACAGGTTTTAAGAAGATGTCATATCTAATAATCTTTTGCATTTTGTTACCTATATTACATATGCGTGGAAATACATGCTTCGCAGGATTAGTTTTATCAGGAAGTAAGTACGAACCAATACCTATAATAGAATATAGGCTCATTATAACAGACGCAGTTTTTCCGAAACTTCTTTCATTATTAACGAAACCTCGACTTTTCTGTGTTGTTACCAAGACCACCATGCCTTTTATCAGGACCTCGGAGTTTTATTTTTACTGAATCAACCACATCTACTTCAATATTGGTATTTAGTTTAGTTATTCTGCCTGGCAGTTTAAGTTGACCTGATTTATTTTGATTCTAAAATAATTTCTAGAGGATCATGTTGAAGAGTTTCAAGACTACAAACTAATTGAACCTAAAATTTACGATGTCAGAGAAAAAAAACAAATTGCCGAGACTAAGCAGGATGTAAGTTAAAATGAATCAATTGGAACTGGTTGAAATCATTGGAGATTTTATACATTTTGCTTTGTAATAATTAATTTGTTTTAGGAAACCAATCATTGTCTTTATAATGGAACAATGGAAGGAAACTTCGATTCCTGGGTGGCAATCTCAACGTGCAATGGACTTAAGGTGAGCAATATGAGCAATAAAAAATATTGGCTCAATTAGTCATTCATTGAGACTCCTGTGTTTATTTTGATTGAATCGGCTTTTACTTGGTGGAAATCCATTATCTAATAAAAGATTTTTTAAGTAAATTTTAATACTTATATATTTCCACAATTTTTTGTTAAACTTTGTTTATACTTCTATGGGGTTTTCTCTAAAACAGTTTCCAAATGTCATAACAAGCAGTCCTGGCACTCCCTTAAAAACGGTTTGAGATGTTCACGCAGTATTTAAACGGTTTTCAAATCGGCTAAAACACGTTTTCAAAACATTTTGAAACGAAACGGTTTATCGAGATAGAACGGTTTATGGGAAGTATACAAGCGTTTTCTGTTAAAACGGTTTAACGGGAAGCATAAACGTGGTAATTCTTTATGGTGTATTTTAGTGTCCTTTTTCTGCTAGTAGATTTGCTACCCTACACAACATTATTTGAATGTTCTTGGGCGTTTCCTAATTGCGTTTTTTTTTTTTTTTGTATCTATTTTCTTTTTTCTCTGTCTCTATTTAGGACTGTCGACTATATATGTCATTTTATGTCACCAAAGATAGATAACATTCAAAATTTAATTTTGACTATACTTACGTTCGAGCTATTTCTATTCTAGATTCAATCAACATCCATATTTTTTCCAACCTCAATAATTTGGGCATTATCCAGACAATTGTCTTTATCGTTCTATACATAAATCAAATTTAAATTTTTCAAATAGCGTGCTTTCGCAATGAGAAAAACCTACAATTTTATTTAAAACATTGGCCAGAAGCTATCATGTACAGTGTGGTCATTTTATCTTGATAACATTTTAAACTTTCATATTTTCGTTATTTTTAAATTTATTTGAAAAAATTAAAAAACATATACTGTAGGGTTGATTTCCAAGTTTTAGATAGGGGGGACAAAAAACAAAAGACTAATATATTTTGACAGTTATGCGCACAAATAGCATTTTTTTAAATGGAACACAGTACATTTTAAGTTTGATTGGTAATATTTTTCATTCTGATTGCAATATATTCAATACAATACACTTTAATGCAATTTTCTTCATATTCAAATGCAGAAATGTTTCATCTATTCTAACTGGAAATATTGACTACCTACACAGATTACCAGCTGCAAAGGTAGGTCGGGAGACAGAGTTTTCTATTAGAATAAATTAAACATTTCTGCATGCAAATATAGAGTAAATTGTATTCAAGTGTATTGTATTGTATAAATGGCAATCAGAATGAAACATATTATCAAACAATTTGAAAATTTACTGGGTGTTCCATTCAGAAAAATACTATTTGAGTGCATAACTGTCAAAATATATTAGTCTTTTGTTTTTTGTTTAACCTATCTAAAACTTGGAAACCAACCCTACAGTATTTTTTTTAAATTTATTTAAATAACTTCAAAAATAAAGAAATTATGACAGTTTGAAATGTTATCAAGATAAAATGACCACCCTGTACAAATACCCAATATAGATTCTCTATTATTTTCTTTGTAGCATCGAATAGCAGATATTAAAAATGAACAAATCCATTTACCCTATAACGCCAACAATGAATCCAGATACATAGAACTTATATTAGTCGTGGACCACGGAATATTTAGGAAAATGGATGAAAGTAAAGAAAATGTTATAAAGTTCTGCAAAGATATTTCTAATATTGTTAATTCGGTAAGATACATATTTCTTATATGCCTTCAGCGTAATGATACAATAAACCAGTGGATCAAAAATGTTGCTTTATTTTTCAGCGTTATGCCCCACTCAATATTTTCATAGCCCTCGTGGGGGTGGTAATATGGACTGAACATGATGAGATAGAATTGTCAGAAAATGGTGATGCAACTCTTGAAAGATTTTTGAAATACAGAAGAAACCATTTAAATCCTACTCACCCTAATGATAACGCGCAGTTATTAACGTTAGTGATCTTATTTTGATAGATTTTAAAGTTGATTAATAACTGCCTTAATAATTTGCTCACGTAAACTAAAACAGAAACAGAAACAAGTATATAAAATTGCAATTTCCAAGATCTCAGCATAATGTTTATTTTAGAATAAAGCATTTCAAAGATGGTGTAGTCAGTAAATCGTTGAAAGGGCCAATATGCACTTATGAGTATTCCGGCGGCGTAAATACGTATTATACGTCAAATACTGGGTCAGTTGCATTATCAGTTGCACATTCGCTAGGACATAATTTAGGTAAGTGCAATCAGAAACATGAGTAGGTATGTATTGTGTAATCAATAAGAGAAAATGAACGAACATAAAGAGGCTCCTTCGAAAATTATAATGTTTGTAACTGTAATCGCAATCGTTGTATGTACAGTTTAAAATATTGTGAATTCAGAAATGTAGACAATCATTCTTGATTTCACAAGCTTCTGGATATCTTTTGAAACGAGGGTACGTCGGTATTTTATTCCTTCCGTTCTATATGAATTGAACAAACAAAAAATAGTAGAAATATGAACAATAAGCGGGAAATTTGAACAACTATATTTCAGGTATGGAACACGATCAGGAAGATTGCAAATGTCCTGATAACAAGTGCATAATGTCAACTTCAATAACTTCAGGAGTTCCAACTCAGTGGTCCACGTGCAGCGTCGAATATGTCAAGTCAGCATTTGGAAGGGGTATGGATCACTGTCTGAAAAATAAACCGGAATTCCTTTTTGACGGGCCACTGTGCGGAAATGGGTATGTGGAACCTGGAGAAGATTGTGATTGTGGCCTGCAAAGTATGTGCAACAACAGTTGTTGCGACTTTAATACTTGTAAATTCAAATCAAATGCTACATGTGCAAATGGAGAATGTTGTGATATAAATGTGAGTATCATTGTATGAATATTATTAACTTTTTCAATAATCGAGACAAGAGAAAAAAGCTTTATATTCCAGCTAGGCTAAGGCAAAGGTCGCACAAAGTTAAAAGCATATTGAGACTTCTGAGGTGGAACGGCTTTATCAAGATATCCAAAATCCAAAACGTTCAAAAAGCTGCAAAAGAATTTCTGTGCGGCTTTGGCTTAGAATACGAATAAATTAGAACCATATATTATTAACATTTTTTCCACTATAATGGTAGAATTGCCACCTGAAAACGGCAGGAGTTCTTTGTCGATCAGCTAATCAAGAATGTGATTTGCCAGAGTATTGTACTGGCCAATCAGAGTATTGTCCTAAAAATGTTTACAAGATGAATATGGAACCATGCTTTGAGGGTAAATCAGTTTGCTATAATGGCGCTTGCAATACTAGGTATTGGGAGATTTTTACCAATAACGTATGATTATTCTTATTGGTTCAATAGTTTGGATACTAAAAACAGTAAGCATTTTTTTAGGGATGCTCAATGCAAATTATTATGGGGTAATGAAACTGAGAGCAGTGATGAATCTTGTGACGATTTGAATACTAAAGGCAATAGGCACGGGAATTGTGGCTATAACAAATTAAACAGTACATATTATAAATGCACAGAAGAGTAAGTATGATAAATTGCAAAAAAAAAACGGAGGACTTGTCGAATTACCGACTTGGTGCATGTCACTCCATCTCAAAAACTAAATGTTTGGTAATAAAATTTGAAGAACTCGAAATGTCTAAATTTTACATCAAACCAGGAAATAGGTTTAAATATACTTCACATATAGGTACTTCAGTATGTTTATAGAGCAAACTTTTCAGAAATATCCATTGTGGCATTTTGAATTGTGATACTACTGGTGAGAAACTCGAGTTTGGAATGGAAGCAGTTTCTATTATTACACATAAGTTCAAATACGTAGGGGGGATTATTATGAAATGTCAAACTGTTATTGTAGATTTGGGACTCCAACAAGTCGACCCTGGATTGACCCCTGATGGTGTAAAATGTGGCCAGGATAAAGTAGGTGACCTAATTAAAATTGATTGGCGCACCCCTACTATAGAGAAAAAAATAATGAAAATCAAACCAAAAGGAGACTGCAGGATCACTAGCTTATGACAGAGATATTTTAGTTACCCATTGTCTAGACAATTTGATCCTTCTATTATTGTTTCAATGGGTACTAATTTAAATTGATTCTTGCTTCATCCTTTAGGTTAAGTTTATTAGCTAATGATTCTAAAGTCGCCTATCCAATACAAATTATTGGATCTTAAAATATCCAAATATTGAATACCTATTCATCCATTAAGGAGTTATTTCTATGAATTTTCAGAAGGAAGTATCTCTAACTTCTTCGACCAAAATTCATTTGGCACGGGAAATATCTGTAGCTTTCCTGAACAAAATGTTCTTGGCCAGTCTATTTCAATTCCGACTGAGATAAATTTCAATCATTGACTATTTTAGATTTGTGTTGATCAAAAATGTAGAAGTCTTGAGGAACTACGGAGGGAACTAAACTCTTGTCCCAATAATTGCAGTGGTAACGGTTGGTGCAACAGCGAAGGCTATTGCCATTGTAAAGTGGGATTTGCATCTCCTGATTGCAGTCAAGCTTACAGGACTAGTTCACCCGCATCTTAGTTGAATGGTAAATTTTTTCCCATCCAATGCATTTAAATATAATAAACATATTTGTCATGACTTACCTATTTGTTTTTTTTAGCTGGCATTTTCTACCTACATTTAGGAATAATGGATATCAATCAAGCTGATATTAAATCTCCCATTAGTTACATACTAATATTTAATTAAGTTTTATATTTTAAAAATATTTTATTAAAAAAGAAATATAAACAAAACAGTAACATTGGATTAATTTATTAAAACAGATCGTATATGCTCACTTTAAAACAATAAAATTACATAGTGACAATTCGCCTTAAATCTTATTTAACAATACTATTTGGCATGTAAACTTTTCTTTTCCTAATTAATTGACCATGAAACTTCAGGATAATTGAATTTTTGGCTAAACAAAATATAGGTTTAGTTGTCGACAACGACATTCCATATTCCTATCAAAAAGTCAATTTTTGTGTGGGCATATTCGGACTACTGAATATGGAACGAGTCCGACCCGGGCTGCTGCCGAATTCCACGCTCGCCACGCCTTTGACAAGTTTGTATCGACTTTTTTTAATAATATGCAATATTGTTGGAGGGAACTTATACATTGAAATTATGTATTGCTAAGGAAAAAAACCAAGCTAAATAATAATATCTAAATAAATAGGACCAATTTTATGATGAAACCAAAAAAAATCAGGCCATTGAATTAAAAAGTGATTATTAAGTTACACAATAAAAATCTGTTTCCAGCATTAAGCCCTGATTTCAATGTTTTCCCATAAAATATATGAATAAATATATTTACATTTCACAGCTATCAAAATATCTCAGACTTTGGGCATTTTTAAATTAGCTATGACTGCATAAGTGAACTCTTGAGTACTGCTTTGACCACCAATATCTTTGGTGCGAACTTTTCCATCTTGAAGTACTTTCTCAACAGCATTCCTGACCATTTCACTGTACATAGGTAAATTCACATGCCTGAGCAATTTGGAAGCACAAAGAAGCATAGCAGTTGGGTTGGCTACGTTTTTGCCCACAGCTTCTGAGAAAGTGTGTCTTGCACCCTAAAAATATATGACGATTTGAAGGTTTCGCAACCTGCTTTCTCGAATAATTTAAGAGAGGACATAAAACCAATCAAAATAGGACAAACCGAATCTCTACTAGGCAAGGCAATAGATTACTTATGCCACAAAAGCTTCACCAGCTGTTATTTATATGTCATAATCTAAGTGATGAAAGGTCTAGTTTTCAATTTGCTACGCAAAGCCTTGAAATATTTGTACCTCTAGCTTATTGAAGGCAGAAAAGATCACTGAGACCCCCCTATGCGGTGTTTTCGGATTGTGCAAGATTTCTATAACTTAGGGAAAACGTGAACGCCCAAATTAAGAACACTGGTTAAAAGAATGTGAAGAATTTAAGTTCATAGGAAACATAAACTGCTGGAACTTCGATACGCATAAAGAATTTTTTTGCCTATTTTTGAAGTCCAATTTCTCAGAAAGTATAAGAGATATTTGATTGCGGTTTGAAGCATATTGGGGCGCATTGTTTGGTGTTCAAGGTATATTGTATCGTGCTGATAAACAGTACCGTTATCGTCAACATACAGGGTGGACAATAAAACAGTGCAAAGTTTGTCAAATTTCAGGGCGTCGCCATTTCTTTTCAAACATACTCCTGCTTTTTTTCTGGGTTTAGGAAGAATCAATTTATCAATGGTAAAAAACAACTTGAAGGGTTTTTGAATAAATCTCGTAGTTTTGCAGAAATTTCAGTTTACCAGAAAAATGACTTTCACCACCCTGATTCTTTGTCTCAGTTATAGGAAACAATGTTCTTCATTATTGTTGGTTCAACGTTTTCGTCTTTTATTGTTTCAAAAAGATTTCATACAGGGTGGAAAAAAAGTAAGTTTTTGATACTAATTATTGGATGGTCCATGAAGACAATTGCCCCTCTGAATAACTAGAGATAGTAGGCGTCCAAACACGTAACATATACAGTCGTGAGCACAAAAAGTGGCACACCCGTTTTTTTCCTATTGTAAAACGGGCTCACCAGCTATACCTACGGCAATGAGAGGGATTGTCATATTTGACAAAAAATCGATTGTAGAGGAAAGACTAATTTACGCAAAATAGCGAAAAATGACAAGACCTGTCAGTCGGTTGTCCCACTTTTTGTGCTCATGACTGTACCTACTGCGATTTATAGGGGGCACATCCTCTTTGTCAATTGATATGGTACCAACCTTTCTCTGCTTTATTAGGCTATTTTTCGCGAGGATAATCAAGTATAATCGATTATGCTATGCTGGATTATGAGATTTGTCAATTGTGTCATGCTCCCCTAACTCCCCTACCATCAAATTCTGGGATACTCGGGGATCAAGAACACTTAATTTCTTCTGTGAGAACAGACCGAAAATCACCTTCTCTACATTTAAAATCGACGAAAAAATTAACTCACTAGCTCAGCCTGAATCGCAAGCGTTCCATAGAGGTCTGCGGGTGACGTCATTACTATAAGCTGATGATAGTAACATCATTTGCAGGCCCAGAATTGGATGGAGAGGGGGTAAGGGAAGTATGACACAATTGACGTATCAAATAACTCAGCATAATCAGATTATGTTTGATTATCCTCGCGATAAATTGCCTATCGTATAACCATTTTAGGCGCAAAATATGATTATATTATGTTTCCTACTTGAAAAAGCTATTCTGTTCTCGAGACGCCGAGATATTTGGTGAATTATTAGCACGTACCATGTCATCAGGGGGACTATTTATACAGGGGTGGTAAAAAGTACCAGAACAGTTGAATCTCTTTCAAACCCGCTTAAAAAAAACTGCTCAAATTTCTTTATCTGGAAGATTCCGGACATACAAAATTAAATGATTCAATGATATCGGCGCTGCTGTCAGATCTACCAGCTTTCCCCTACATCATTGTCCAGTTTCGTTTGCCCAGAAACCTCCAGATAACGAAATCTGGGGAAGCAGCATAAGTGGGTTTGAAGAGATTCACTCCGCTCCGGTATTTTTTATCACCCCTGTATAAGTAGCCTCCTTATGACGTGGTACGTGCTAATAATTCACCAAATATCTCGGTGTCTCGAGAACAGGATAGCTTTTCCACCTAAGAAATATAATATAACCATATTTTGCTCTCAGAATGGTTATACAATAAAGCAGAGAAAGATTGGTGCCATATCAATTAACAAAGAAAACTTGTGCCCCCTATCCTATAAATTGCAGTTCATGTTACGTGCTATCTTTAGTTACTCTGAGGCGCAATTATCTTTATGGACCTCCCAATAATTAGTATTAAAAATTTAATTTTTTTTTTCACCCTGTATAAAATCTTAAAACAAAAAAAGACGAAAACGTTGAACCAACAGTGATGAAAAAAATTGTTTTGAGTAACTGAGACAAACAATCAGGGTGAGAAAGTCGTTTTTCAGTTAAACTGAAATTTCTGCAAAACTACGAGACTTATTCAAAAACCCTTCAAGTTGTTTTTTACCATTGAACTACTGATTCTTCTAAAACCCAGAAAAAAGCAGGAGTATGTTTGAAAAGAAATGGCGACGTCCTGAAATTTGTCAAACTTTGCACTGTTTTATTGTCCACCCTGTATGTTGAAGATAACGTTTCTGTTTATCAGCACGATACCATACACCTTGAACTCCAAGCAATGCGCCCCAATATGCTTCAAACCGTAATCAAATATCTCTTATACTTTCTGAGATATTTGACTTCAAAAATAGGCCAAAAATTTCCTTATGCGTATCGAAGTTCCAGCAGTTTAGTTGTCACGTACACTCTCAACAAAAAAATGAGCCGTTTAATAATTGTTAACAAAAAAAAAAACAAAAAGAAAAAATGCACAGAATCATGTAGACCGTTGTTTGTACAGGAGGGAATAATGACAGTGCCATCTCTTTTTATATTGGAATCGGTGAGCCTTGTCTATAAAAAGAATGCCGGTTATGTTCAGGCGAGTAACTATAACCTCCGACAAAATAATGTACCTTTACCAATCCCTAAATTTACACTCACGAAAAATTCAGTTATTTATGAAAGTATTAAAATGTACAATCATTTACCGCAACAAATTAAAGAATGCTCTAATTATAAAGCATTTCGTTTGTGTGTCAAACAGCATTTAACTACCAAAGCCTTGTATAGTGTAAGTGAATTTTATGATGAAAATGCATTATGCAATACTTGAGTGGAATTTGGGTTTTTTAGGTGTAAATGTACTTGTAAGAACTTCGAAATTTTATTAATTTTGGACCGAATTGTGTATTTGTTTAATAAGGTTCAATTTTTTTTAATTTATTTGTTTATTTTTTTTGTTTTTTTAAGACAATTTTAGCTTGTGTACTGTAATTTTATGTTTTAGGAGGTTAGGTTAGGTTAAGTATTTGCTTTGTCAATAAAAATGTATCTGTTTTTTTTTTGGACAATAAAGCTTATTTGATTTGATTTGATTTGAAATAACAACCCAACTAGCACAGATTGTTTCTCAATAGTTAAAATGCTATATAACTGGTGTATTAAGGTCCTTCATAAACAATTTTATCACATAGTGACTGTAGTTGAAACAAAAGTATCTCAGAGACAAAAAAGTTTTTTAATTGTGTAATAAAGCTTTCTATAAGATTATTTTATAGTCTTTTATAAAATATAAGAAACTTAGGTCTTATAACATACTATAATGCCAATTAATAATACCAATCACTCTTAAGTGTAATTTGTTTTATTGTTATCTTACGACAGTTTTGAAAAGAACGTATAAGATAGTTACAAAATATTTTTATTGAAGATTTATTGTATTATCATATAGCTAACTTCAATAAAAACATTAAGTCGCAAACTTTATTTAAGACTAAATTGGCTTAAAAGAACATCCTATAAAAATGGTTTATAGAATACTTGATTTCGAGGGTACAAGACATTATTATAAAACACTTATACAACTTAAATATGCTCGGGTTGCCATGCGCGTGGGCGCCTGTGCGGCGCTGTCTTTAGTATTCGTCCGTTCCTGGTAAAATCGTTTACAATGTTGCCAGACTATCATACATTTTCCTTAGAGTAACAACTATAAAACGCCTAAACACATGCCCGAATGACTTTATTTAATTACACGTTGTATTTATTTTTGTAGTAACTAGTAGGTATGTAAAATTTTCTATGTATGGTGATTAGGAAAGTTTCTATCTCTCGTCATGTTTATTCCTATACAATTGTATGCCAAAAAGGTGTAGGTGTAGGTATCCATATAGGAATATTTTTATTATGATGATTGAAATTGTCCTAGTATTTGGGGTGCTTTCACAGAAAAACTGTTTTTAAATATGTATTACTACCTTTTTTTAATGCCCTATATAATATGTGAGTATTGCGCCGATTGTGTGGTTTTGAATATGCAAGAACGGTTAGTGTACAGCGGCGGATTTAGGATTCCTTCTAGGGGGGGGCGATCCATCAGGGCCTCAGGCTCAGATAAGAAATAATAAAAAAACGACTTAAATATACAGAGTGGCAAAAAAGTCGCGTATAATACCTGTAACTTTCTAATTACCTCGTATACGAAAAAGTGACCTTAATGAAAATTGCTCAGTAAATTAGGGACATAAAGCTTCCGTATTTTTTGCTCGGTATCCGTATCGGTATCGTACTGCGCATGTGCAGAAGCGATACGGAGGCCGAGATACCGTACGTACAACGTAACGTTACGGCCCTCTCGCGGTATCCGTATCGGTAACGTATCTTGACATTCCTGACGCATGTGTCAAATTTCAAATGAATATAACCTCCCTTTTCTTCCGGGTTGATTTAATTTGTTTAGTTTTTACTTTCTTGAGTTTCTTGTGTTTAGTGCTTCTCTATCGCAAAAAAAATAACAATTTTAAGGTTAGATATAAAAACGCCGAAGTTTTGAGACAAAAATGTCTAGGTTATGAAATGCGTTTACGTTTACCGGAACAGGGAGCGCTTTAACAGCCTTTTCGCTTGTCAACGTATCTAGTTGCGTTACGGATACCGATACCGATGAATTATTTCAAGTAGCTTTATGTCCCTAATATTTCCCACAATTCTACTTAAACGTATTGCCTGTGTCACTTCTGGTTTGTTTGCTATCTAGACCAACTTTCTTTTTTTCAAATAAAACACCCTGTATGTGATTGCATATTTGGATTCTACGTAAAATTCTGAGCAGATTTCATGTGATATACCCTATACCTAAGTTCAACTGTTTTGGAAATATTGACAGTTGAACATTGACTTTTTGCAACTTTGATAGGCTGTAAAACCTGAACGGTTAATTTCAGAGGAAAACCGATTTCACATTCCTATCTTAGATTTTCATAAACTATCATTTGACATCAACATTTAATTTAATCGGAGATTAAATTTAATTGGAATTTTCAATTATAGATTAAATTCAAAGTTGGTGCGGATTTACGTCATCCGCAGTCGATTCGCTCCCAGCTCGCTGCTGCCAAACGTATTTAAAAGTATTAAAAATTTGGAAAAATAGCAAAAACCATATGGAATTTCATGTTGGATAATGCTTGATGAATATGTTTGTGTTTTCGTTAAAAATTTCGTTGTTGCGTCGCTCAATAGGGGGGGGGCGCGCGCCCCCCCTCTAAATCCGCCACTGACTGGGTAGTAATATGAGACATAGATCTGACAACCTTGTATATTTGAGAATTTGAGGGGAACCAGGATCAAGCAAATTTGTATTAAATTTGATTTATTCGTGAGCAATTTGTCTCATTATTGTGTTTTTTGTGACAAATTTGATATATCGGATTCGTCCATATTGGCAGGCCACTTTTGGTCGGCCATTACAATAGGTTTAGGAAATAAAACTAAATATTTCATAAGAAAAGAAGAAAATTGAAACATCGTATAAGAAAAATATTCAGAATACCGAGAAAAATATAATTATTAAAGAGTAGTTGTCATTTGTAATTACCATCTTCAAGTTGTAAAATATAAACACACGAATAAAAATCGTAAATTGCCCTAAAATGCAGGCGCGTGAAAATTAGTTAATAAATATACCCATATATTGACAGAAAAATTGAATTGGCAAGTGAAATCAACATGTTTGAAGCTTTAACAGTATTTCATATGTATGATATTGTAATATTATTTTGATATATAGGTAAGCACGCCATTTGTGATGGGCTTAACTGTCCCAGTTATAGTATTTTTGCAACAATTCTGATTTATTTTCAGTTAAAAATATAATGTCAAATTATTATTGGTAACTAAGACAAAATATTTTTATAACAGTATAAAATGTATATAAAATAGCGTTTGAAATACCACAATCATATAGGTGTTTTATAAATACTCTTATTAAAGGTCTATAGCAGTAGTAACGCAGTCGTATAGCTGTCACTCACGATCATTATAAGCATTTTAACACGACAGATATATTTTATAAAGTGGTCCGTTTTCGTGTTTTTAAGTGTATTATAATTGCCTATTAGATAACTATAAGAATTTGTATACGAGTGAAATGTATTATGAAACTGCTATATAGCAGCATATAAAACACTAATAAACATATTTGTGTTGGTTGGGAATTATTCCATTTTTTTGGAGTGAGTGTAAGTGACAACTATGTCTTCTATGAACTTGAATTTTTCACATTCTTTTAACCGGTGTTCTTAACTGGGGCGGACAGTAACATCGTACTCCGCATGGTTTATTATACCAATGGATTATTTCAATACCTGGACTACCTTTATTATTGATTCTCCAAGTTCAAAATTTTATTATGGAGAAGTTTATAATGAACATGGTAGGAAAACAGCACTACCAAAAACGCAATTTTTTTGCGAATACAAATAATAATATTGTTTGTCTTGTTTTTCTTTTAATGTCCTAACTTTGAAAAATAATCTATGAATTTCAGTGTGTTAGAAAAGAAAATATTACTTACGGGCTCAAACACAACACATTCAGCAGAATATGAAGATCCAGATACTACACCAGCTCCACCCACAAGCCCTGAAGCCAGATTATCAACAATGTTACCATAAAGATTGGGTGTCACCATAACGTCGAACTGTTGCGGGTTGGACACCATTTGCATAGTACAATTGTCGACAATCATTTTCTCAAATTCAATTTTGGGGTAAAGTTTCGCCATCTAACAAAAAAACCCACGAAAAATCTTTGTAAAGAAAGCTATTGAAAATGTGTTCACTAGTTTCTTACCTCTTCACAGCTTCTTAAAAACAATCCATCACCCAATTTCATGATGTTCGCCTTATGCACAGCAGTGACTTTTTTCCTATTATTCTTAATAGCATAGTCAAATGCAAACTTGGCAATTCTCTGAGATTTCTTAGCAGTGACAATTTTTAAACATTCGACAACACCTGAAAAGAAAACAAAGTTCAACCAATAATAATTTGACTGAAACAGGAGTATCTACCTCTTACACTTTCATGCTCCAAAGCAGAATATTCTCCCTCTGTTTGCTCTCGAATAATGACACAATCAATATTACTATGGCGACATTTGATTCCTGGCAATGATTTCACGTGGACAACATTAGCATATAAGTCCAACTTATTACGCAGTTTCATGTTAAGAGTTTGAAGTTCACCAGTGTGAGAGTAATCAGGGGTGGCCAGAATGCCTTTGAGGGCAACGCGATTTTTGCTGATGGACGTCGCAACCTAGAAATTATACAAAATTAAATAATGGACTTTTTCAACAATATAAGTTTGAGTTAGTTTTTGGGTCGTTGGGCTCAGCTAAAAATACTGTTGAGTTTGAAAACCTACAAATCTCTAGATTCTTCTTTCTCCGAGTTCCCATTCATTGGATACTTGCGTAGCTACATACCGGTTTCCAATGAAAGGGAATTTGATTTTGTCATCAACAACATAGTTTTCCAGGTCTATATGCTATTATGAAGATAGTGCAGTAAAGCATAATATTTTGGGGCTTTCCATTTCGTCTGACATTAATATTACTGGGCCCTAACTCAGGTTTCATTCTATTTGCATTGGATTTTATTATTTTAGAGTTGTGATATTACATGCAATATGCAATGCCACAGGTTCTACTTACATCATCAAGGGGAGCGCTAAGAGTAGGATTAACTTCGGAGAAAAAATATGATTCCCAATCAACTGGTATTCCGGCAGCCTTGAAAACTTCTTGAACAGAGTAGACTAGTTCAGGTCCAACACCATCTCCAGGAATCAGGGTAGCAGTTACTCTTGTGTCTGGTCTTTCAGCTAAACGCTAAATAAAAATATAAATAGAATCTAACCCTCGATTTTTTAAACAATGAAAACAACTTTTATATTATATTATTGTATTAATATATTATATTGAAAGTGACAATTAAACAACGTCAAAACTAACCTATGAAATATGTTTGGAAAGACAATTTTGTATGAGTACCTCCTCGTCTCATAGGAAGCGATCGAAACAGGACCCCAAATTAGATTTAACAGAGGAGAATAAAATATATACTAAACAACTAAAACAACTTTACTACAACTAATTCGAAAATTAAAATAAAATCATCTGAACAAAATAATAAGCAATAATTAAGAAGCTGAAGATTATTTATGTTTACGGATGACAACTTTCACATATATAGGATCGCCTCCATTGCTGCACATACACTTCAGCTCGGACTCCACCAGCACCAAGCCATAGCGTTGCTGGGTCAACTTCTCCCAATGAGATTCTCTTACGGTTACCATCGGCCCAGTGTATCGACGAATAAAAGGGTTGGTTTTTGTATATACCCACATTGAATAATGAAGGCTTGTAGCCATATTCGATGCGAGCCAGATTATAATTCTGTCGCTCTCTACTGGACACTTAGGGTCTATATCATGTTTGGTTACCCTGGTAGTGAATAAAAAACAAATCAGATCATATCCATTATTGGGCCAATATAGCAAGCTGGCACCTGTGGGTTCTCCTTCTTTCTCAATCATGGTCATCACCAAAATGCAGTCGTTCTTATAAAAATGAGTTTCTGGCAGCTTGTCTGGCAGGAAAAATGTCTTGTCATAGTGGGTATTGAATTTGCAGGTAAAAATTTCACTTTGACCATGGCACTTATAGAAATGCTCTTTAAGATTGGGAAATGGAACTTGAATAGAGCAAATCGGACATTCAAATGGAATTATTCTGCAAATATCCATATCTGCACTTCTGAATTTCTAATTAATTCTGTTTTATATTACTGTAACAATCTGAATGAAGAATGGTTTGATTTGACAAATAAAAATGGTACTTCTCTTTGAGCCTACTTCCCTGTCTGTCAAATGTCGAAATTGAGGTTTTGTTTACTGAGTGTATTCGCGAAAATCCTGTACCAATAGATGGCGTTAAATTATGGCGATTTAGAAATATGTCTGCCGAACTCAGTGAACGAAAAAACCAGTTTTTTGAGGTTAGTTTTTTATAAATTGTGTTTTGTGGCGTTTTCGTGACTTATATAGCAGAAACAATACATATAAAGAATAATATTCTGTAGAAAATTATAAACTTCCAAAAACAATGCCGGGGGCCAAATGCAAATTTGCTTTGTTGTTCACTGAGTTTTGAGTACCAAAGTTGATCATAGATGTCGCCTACTTCCGGACCTACAGTGGCTAAATAAACCTTCACATACAGTGGCGACCAATGAACTATAGCTAAAAACTGGAATGCGCACACATTGCCATATCTGCCAAAAAAATGAAGCCATGAAAGACAGATGCCACAAGGGGGAATGTTGTTTTTTTCTGTTGTTCGCTGACATATGACGTTTTCGAAAGTTTTGTCATATTTCCCTTCACAGGTTTCATCAATTGGAATACGTGTTGGAAGCAATTTTCGCCATTTAACATAATGAGTGCGACAAAAACAGGTATCCCTTCCGCAGCAGCCGCACTAGGCTTCAAGTTCGTCGTTATGTGTTAGCATTCCAGTTTTTGGTTATAGTTCATTGGTGGCGACAATAGAGGTCCCGCCGCCATCTTGTTCCCAACCTCTTATTACTTTTAAATATTAATATAAAGGATTTAAATGGACATCTATCATAAAGGCGACGTATTTGATGACCTTTATTAGGTCCATCAAATACGTTGTTTTCTATGATTTATGATGGATGTTCACCTAAATCCCATATATTCATATTTAAAAGCAACAAGGGGTTGGGAACAAGATGGCGGCGTTTTCAATATAAATATATGGGATTTTAGAACCAATCAAAAATAAGACAGCAATTGTCGCCACTGTGGCAATAGAGTCACTGTATCCGGACCTTTCGCGAATTCGTCTCCTTTTTTAAAATGTGTAAAAAAAGAGTACATTACAGATAGTTATAGAAGAGAAGATGCAGCGCCATCTACTGCTATTGGTTACATTTTTTGTTTTCAAGTTTGTTGATGCCTTTTGCATTTGTTTATATGAGAAGAACCAATGTATGAGTGTATGTGAAAAATGGGAACAATTGAATCCATTTGAAAGAGGCTTTCAAATTCAAATATTATTGTAGAGAACCATTTCCTACAATAATCTATCATCAATTTCGAATGCTTTTGCTTACTCTAACCTAATGTCCCTGTACCATAACGAAAGATCCTTTAAAGTAGGTCATTATTTACTTTAAACTTGACACAAATTTGGTCCAGAATTTCTGGATACTGCATCGCCAATAATAATCGGTTTACACTTTCTGATCAGCTCATCATTAATAACTTCACTTTTTACCACAAAAGATCTTCATCAGTGAGAGCAGTGTTGTCGAACGTCAAAATACTAAATCGGGAGAAACTGGCGTTAAAAATCGGTAGATTACTGCGCAAAATCGGTAGGTATAACATAACAAATAACAATGAACTATAGCTAAAAACTGGAATGCGCACACATTGCCATATCTGCCAAAAAAATGAAGCCATGAAAGACAGATGCCACAAGGGGGAATGTTGTTTTTTTCTGTTGCTCGCTGACATATGACGTTTTCGAAAGTTTTGTCATATTTCCCTTCACAGGTTTCATCAATTGGAATACCTACGTGTTGGAAGCAATTTTCGCCATTTAACATAATGAGTGCGACAAAAACAGGTATCCCCTCCGCAGCAGCCGCACTAGGCTTCAAGTTCGTCCTCATGTGTTAGCATTCCAGTTTTTGGTTATAGTTCATTGTAACATAAAGACTAAAATCCAGCGTTGCCGTGTTTTGCACGATTTAATAAATATTACATTATAACGGCCATTATCGGAAAATCAAATATATTTCATTTAGGAATTAAAATACAAACTTCGATAGTCGATACAAACATAATAAACATTAAGTTGAGCTGATCCATTCATGCGCGTCACTAATTAAAGTCTGTTTTTTTTAAAGATAAAAGTCAAAATGACATTATGTTGGCAATACAATGTAAAATTGTCATTGCTTTCAAATTTTTTATGTAGAAAAGGCTTGTGTTGCCAACATAGTTACTAAATTTTTGACTTGGAGAATTATCTTAAAAAAAAAACACACTTTAGAGATTTTTTTTCTGACGGAATGTTTTGAAACGTTTTAAAACCTTCATTTTGATGTTGCAACGGTCACGTGCTCCGTTTTAAAACCGGGCATTTTTGATCACCACCGATATGATGACCAGTTTTGAAACGTTTTAAAACACGGTTGAACAGAAAAAGACGATGACGAATTATTTGGCCACTATTAATGGCCGTTTCATAGAGTCCCCACACGTTCACATTGACATCGCACGCGGTATTATCCGAAAAAATGCACTGATACCAGTGATACCCAAGGACACACTACTACTACAGGAACAAATCTGAAGCCCCCAACCACACCAACTCACCAGTTGTGATGTAGGCAGAATGTCCTTTCTCGCATTGACGTAGGCTATTTGCACCACAAGTTATGATTTTGCGGGCTTTTGCTTTATGCATACTTGGTTTTACTTCATTATTTAACATTCTAATAGAACTTTCTTTAGATCTCGTTTTCATCTTCTTTTTTGCCTATTATGTTAATCAAGATTAAATAATATTTTTCATCATAAATTCAAATTCTAAACTACGACCTCTTCACCTCTAGTGCAAACAGCTGACGTCTTGTTAATGACTTCGGAAATGGTGACACACCGGGGATTACCAAAAACGAGGCCAATAAGCAATCCTTAGATTCCTTAGTAGTGTGTATTATCCTTGACTGATACCAACCTTGCTAAATTAGGCAATCCAACGACCTGTCTATATGGCGTCTGGTTGGCAAACAATAAACAAAAAACATATGTTTTTTTTTGGCAGGATTAAGGCTAGTACTCATAACAGCGAAATTCGCTCTTTTTTGACATTGCTTCGACAATTTGACGTTTTATGCGTGAATCAAACGTCAAATTGTCGAAGCAATGTCAAAAAAGAGCGAATTTCGCGGTTATGAGTACTAGGCTTTATCAATCTGACAATTTTCTGACATCGTTGACATGTAACAACCCGTATTCTAACCTCATAAAAATTTGAAAATGCCGGATGGTTGGCAAAAGTCACGTGGTTTGGATTCCCTAATTTGTCGTTAGAGGATCTACCTGACATCTGACAGTTCTGACACGGACAAAAAATTTGATAGTATAAAAAAAAGATCGGGTGCGGGGGAAATAAAAACGATAAAATTGATTTTGTGGCGAAAAACGGTAGAAAAATCGGTAGAATCGTAATTATTGTCGAAAATCGGTAAAAATTTATCAGTATTCCGTATTTCGGTAGGTCCGTTGCCATTTCGGTAGAAATACCGAAATTTCGGTAGCTTCGGCAACACTGAGTGAGAGTAGGTAGGTACTTATTGTATTGCAGTGAAACTGGAACATATTTTTCTGAAATAGGCTCGATGATCCAGTTCCGAGTCCAGTTCTATCGGGTCTTCGAAAAAAAAAAAAAAATCAAAAGATTGCTATGGTTTTCGTATGTCTTAGCAATATTTTTCTTTTATTTTGTCAATGAATTTTAAATGTCAAAAATCCTGACCAATAAAGAAACAATAATGTGACGTACGTTTTCGTAACCAAAGCAATCTGAGTGTTTTTTTTTTTTGAAGACCCGTTATAAATAACCTTCTTTTATGTTATGATAAAATCTTATTCCTTCATAACCACAATCAGAATTCCTGCATGCCAACATATTTCATTGCAAAATTACTGTTTAGAACGGCCTTTTTGAAATTATCCTATTGCATTTATTTATAGTATTGTTTTTTGAAAAAATGGTCTATTTTCTCA